ATCATACAGTACATGTGAAAGGACCATTTTAATTTGTGCTAACGAGGCCAGGTCGCTGTGGGTCCTTCTCATTCCCACGTCCACACCGCTGAAGCATTCTGGGAGCTTGTTTTTGCTGCGACCCTTCACCTCACTGAGCAGGTAAAGCCTGAACTATTGAATTAATGCTGACAAGCAGAACAAATGGGTTCGAAAGTAAAAGATATATTACAACCTGATGTTTGTTTTACAGCCTCCAGCTGGTGGTTGATCCGAGAGTGAGCCCGTCAAACAGGAGACAGGTGGGATCAAAACCAGTTTAAGGATAACAATTTGAGAAATTGTGCCGGAAAGTTTTTGTCTTATGTCAGAAACTTAGTTTTTCTTTTATTAAACGGTTTTTAAAAATTCTTAAGGCAATTATTCATCGTCATAACTGCATTATGTTGCAATATTTTATCATAAATATTAGCGATTACTTCAGATTTCACCACAAGGTTTGACAAAAAGAAGGTTTAACTTGTTTCATTGCTTTAATTATGAAAGTAGCATTCCTTGAAGGAATACATGATGCTCACTGCTTTACATACTAAAGTTTTAAAAAGGACCTTTATCTGTGCGTTGGGATGACTCTCAGCTGTTACAGCACCAAAAACAGAGCCAAATATCTGTTGAAGCCATTGAGTTACAGCCATTTATGTGTTCTCGAAGTTAGATTATCTGTGGCGGCCATTTTAAATCAAGCAGACTCCAAACATTAATAGATGTAGTCGTACATCCAGTAATTATTCTCTGAAAGTTTCATCAAAATCCATCCATGTCTTCTTGAGATATTTTGCTAACAGACAGGGTTGATTCCAACAGGTAATAATCAAGTTCTAAGCATGAACTTTACAGGATTTGTCAGTGCTCAGGATATGATTTGGAGACGACTCTCAGCTACTACTGCGCCAAATATGAACTCAACATTTGTAAAACTGACTGAGTTCTACTCGTGTTTGCAAACACCGATTAGCTGTGGCAGCCATTTTGAGTCGGGTTAACTTCAGCAGCTGTAGACGTCCATCCTATGAACGTTTTCTGAGAGTTTCATTAAAGTCCATCTGGTTGAGATATTTTGCTAACAGGCACAAAGACAAATAACCACGCATGTGCTTACATCATCACCCGCCTGTTCTGAGAGCAGGTCATAAATATATGTGTGGATTATTATTATTATTTTTTTAAGATCCAGCTTGATATTCTGGATCACATTAATCTGCTTATCCATGGACAGAACTAAGCAACAACTTTTTATGTTTCCACTCTTTGTGTGTTTGACTCATCAGCTGTGCTTTTAAAAAAGTCTTGTAGTTCCAGTTGCTCATTTTGTGAAAAAAACACACACCGTAACCAAGGAAACTACTAATAGCGGAAATATTTAGATAATTTACTTTAAGTTAAACTCAACTGAAGCGTCTTTGGCTCGAGTTTTGTACTTTTTGTGCCAACTTAAGTGGGTGTAATTCCTCTTATCTCCCTCCCTGCAGGAGAACAAATATTTGTAAAAATGTCGAGGTGACTCTTATCACATGGGAACCTTCTGTCCTGTTTAACCTGATTCTAACCTTTCGTCAGGAAAATTGACAGTAAGTAATGGACGCATACTGGAGAGGACAGAGGAGCTCAGCTCACAGACAGGCAGCGATGGAGCAAAGACACATTTCTCCAGAACCCCACAGCATCTCCAGTGATTTTCCTCCTTATCTCGGGGAGAATATCCCTCACACTTAATCTGTCAGCTCCGCGGGGTTTTATTAGAGGCGGAGGAGCAGGTTGAGGAGGTGCTCCCTCTCCGCTGACAGTGCCCACATTGTGCCGACAGCCCGACTTGTCTTCTTGTTGGGACATTCCTGAAAGCTCTGTCGCTCTGACTGGGAGCTCTGTGTTTTTAAGCTCTCCCCTCTGCCCCAGCAGAGTGTCAACCCACACCTCCCCCCCAACCCCATGATCAGGTAAGACCTGAACCCCGCAGGTCGACAGATCTGAAAGACTTCAGCTGAATGGAGGTCAAAGGGCGAGGCCAAGGCGTGCTGCAGCACTCCTCTGCCTGCAGGCTTCAATCTGAGCTGTTAAAGGTGGGTTTTATTTTAATTTGAGATTTTTTTTTCTTGGCATAGATGATAATTGGAGAGCAGTTGTGCCAGAAACAAGATTTTTCTTGCTCAGGCGTAGCTGTTGGCTACCAAAGTAAATGCCAAAGGCCTGTTATCATACGAGCACGTGATCTGTTGGCGAGTCGTGAAGGTCTAACTGCTGCAGTGAAGCTGAAATAAACTTTAAACAGTAACGAACTGCACGTCTTTAATTCAGACTGGCAGAGATACATCGATAATGTGATCAAATCAGTGGGTTGTTGTTAAAAATGGGCGTTATCTTGTTTGGTTGCTTAAAGTTGAACCAAGTGGGTGAAAGTGTGACTGTGGCTTCAGTGAAGAACAATCTTGGTTTGAACTTAAAAGTAGAGGTTTTAATTTCTGTTTCACTCCAATAAAGTCATATTTAAATTTAAAAAACTAAATTAAACACTTATTATTTAGGTTGTTTTATTTTAAAAGTCAACCGTGAGCTTTTAAAAGTTGTGTAGACGAGTGGCTCCCAAACTTTTCAGCTTCTTCTCCACATAATTACAGTTGTGAAAGTTTGTGACACCAAATCTGGCTGGTTTAATTCTTCAACTTTGATAATAAGTTGTTCAAGAAGAGAATAGCAAACAGTCTGAACAAATTTGCTGTAATATTTATTTATTTATTTATTTATAATTTTTGAATTTGTTCTTCTTAATTAAAAAAAATTGTGATTTTCTGTAAAAGCATTTAGAGTTGAATGACTGATCTGTTTATGAAGTTTAGCCAAAGTGGAAAAAGTTAAAACAATCAGAACAAAAGCAGAACAGCAGCTAAAACATAAAGCTATCAGAAAAGTACCTAAAAGTTAAATTGAGCAAAACAGTAGCTAAACGCAGAGATCAGCCAAACAAAAGCTAAATCCTGAAAACTATAGCTAAAACCTTAAAGTAGATAAACAATGACTAAAAGCTAAATTTAGCTAAGCTATAGATAATAGCCAAAACTTGCAAACAATAGCTAAAAGCTTAAACTTTCAAAACTTTATCAAAAAGCTATACAAGTCAGCATATAAAAGCTAAAACTAGCAAATCAATAGTTACAAGATAAAACTACCAAAACAGTAGCTAAAAGCTAAAACTATTAAGGCCAAAGCTAAAACTAGCACAACAATATGTTAAAAGTTAAAACATCCAAAACAGTAGATAAAAGCTAAAACTTGCAAAACAGTATATTAAAGTTAAAACTAACAAATCAGTGACTAAGAGCTAAAACTGCCAAAACAGTAGCTAAAAACTACAACTGTCAAGGCTAAAGCTAAAAGGTAAAACTAGCAAAACAGTATATTAAAGCTAAAACTAACAAATCGATAACTAAGAGCTAAAACTGCCAAAACAGTAGCTAAAAGCTACAACTATCAAGGCCAAAGATAAAAGGTAAAACTATCAAAACAGTACATTAAAGCTAAAACTAGCAAATCAATAACTAAGAGCTAAAACTGCCAAAACAGTAGCTAAAAGCTACAGCTATCAAGGCCAAAGATAAAAGCTAAAACTAGAAAAACTGTATGGTAAAGCTAAAACTACCAAAACATTATATTAAAGCTAAAACTATCAAATTAATAACTAAGAGCTAAAACTGCCAAAATAGTAGCTAAAAGCTACAACCATCAATGCCAAAGCTAAAAGCTAAAACTAGCAAAACATTATATTAATGCTAAAACTAGCAAATCAATAACTAAGAGCTGAAACTGCCAAAACAGTAGCTAAAAGCTACAGCTATCAACGCCAAAACTAAAAGCTAAAACTACCAAAACATTATATTAAAGCTAAAACTATCAAATTAATTACCAAGAGCTAAAACTGCCAAAACAGTAGCTAAAAGCTACAACCATCAACGCCAAAGCTAAAACTAGCAAAACAGTATATTAAAGCTAAAACTAGGAAATCGATAACTAAGAGCTAAAACTGCCAAAACAGTAGCTAAAAGCTACAGCTATCAAGGCCAAAGCTAAAACTAGAAAAACTGTATATTAAAGCTAAAACTATCAAATTAATAACTAAGAGCTAAAACTGCCAAAAAAGTAGCTAAAAGCTACAACTATCCATCCATCCATTATCTTTTACCCGCTTCTTCCATTTTGGGTCACGGGGGTCGCCAGTGACTAGCAAAACAATAAGAGAAAAACTGCCAAAACAGTAGCTAAAAGCTAAAACTATCTAGGCCAAAGCCAAAAGATAAAACTAGCAAAACAATATATAAAGTAAAATGAACAAAACAAAACCTAAAACTAGCCAATTACTAAAAGCTTTTCAAATTTCTGAAGAAATCTCCATCCATTTATGAGAACATTTTAAATAAATTTGAATAATTTGAAAAATATAAACATTACAAATACAGAAAGTCATAGGTATTGTGGCCTGAATGATCTGAAGGTTTTATTTCCCGATCAGCCGAATCAACTGAGAGCACGCCGAAGTCCAAAAAGTGGAGGAAACCATAAACAACAAATGTTGCGAACGCATTTAGCTGAGGTAAAACCAATATTTTAATAATTTGATTACATTTAATTTGATTTTTGGAAATTATTTTGGGACCTCATTTGATATTTCATGACCTTCGGGGGAGTCCTGACCCTGACTTTGGGAATCACTGATCAATAACGTGAATTGTGATGTTTTAAAGTGTGAACATTAGTCTTGCTTTAGAAATAAATATTTTATGATCACACAATGAGCTACTGTACTTAGTCTTACAAAAATCAGCAGGAAAAGAGTTTTTATTCTGAACATAAAAAATGAAATGGTGTTTCCTCTCAGCAGGTGGACTGACAGAGGAACATGGCGGGCGCTAGGACCCAGAGGAGGAGCTCCACGTGAAGAGAAAAGTCCTCCTCTGAGCAGAACCTGGTTTATTTGAGTCTGTGTTTGAACTGGACAAGTTTACAGAGATCTGGATCTCACTCCACACCTGTCCTTTCATTTCAACAAAAAGAGAAAACAGAACCTCCACTCCAGAGAGAGAGAAACCCCAGAGATTAAAGGAGGAGGTAAAAATAAAATGTAAAAAACCTGTCAGCTGAGATCATGAGGGAAACCTGGAGGACTGACCCTGACTGGGATGTAAACACAGACTAACCTGCAACCACCAGGTAAGATGTTTACTTACATCAGTTTGTGTTGTATTTAACATGTTTACAGACTCAACAGTTTTTGTTGTGCTCACAAGTCTATGAAAAAGTGATGATAAATAAAACGTGCTTGTACATGATGTTATGTGTAATTTTAATGGACTCAGCTCCAAACAAAGTGAAGATCAGTTTCATGCAATTTTAGGGATAAAGAAAATAAATTTAAACATCTTGTTAATATAGTCTTTTGGGCCCCAAAGCTAAAACACCTCACCTCATTTTCTCCTGCGTCTTTAATGAGAATGAGCCTATTTTGTCTAAAACCTCAGCAGAACCCACTTTATTTTGTCGACTCAACATTAAACCAGGTTCCTAACAGAGCAATTTAATTTTAGACTTTTTTTCTTTACTCGTATCCCTAAAGACCTGCATTATCGGTTCAGCCTTTTTGCCACTTAAAGTGTAATTCTGTCTTCTTCTTGTTTCTAACATGAAGTCAAGTTATTGTGTTTGTTGCAGCCCATAGATGTGTGGACGTGCCCCACCCTGTGTTTTGTCAGGAATAATGATCTGTGTTCCTAATCTGCCTCAACTTGCTGCCTTTTCACTTTTCCACACACCTGCTCTGCTGAGCCACGAGAGCCTGGGGATCCACACTTCCACAAACATGAGTGGAATAAGGGGATCGGGGTCTGCATTTGATGGAAAGCCCCTTCTTACTGATGTTTGATCAGTCTCATTAATAAATATCCATAGCTCTTTGACTCGGAGCATCAGTTTGGATTTAAACACAACTTTTCCCAGGCTTTTTCCCTGTGATCGTTTTGTGCAGAACGACCATTAAAATGCTCGTTTTCCTGCATGGGGCTGAAATCTTATTATCCTGGTAATCTATAGCTCAGGAACAAAAGGGTCGTTGTTTCCTCGCCACACCGGTCGGAGTTCAGACCTGCACAGGAACGCTGGGGTTGGTAAGCTGAACCTGCTTCCAAAGGCGCTTCAGTTTCTTATAAAACTGTGAGAACGTTCAGGTTTACAAATTGTTTTCGCCCACTGCCATGAAAGACGGGTGATGATGTAATTGTGTATCAGTTAGTGAAATATCTCTAAGACCAACTCAGATGGTAATCACTGGAAATGTACGACCATAACTGATTAACATTTTGTTGTGTCCGATTCACCCACAGCTAAGAGGACTTCATCTCGGTCAACTTGACATATATTCAGCTAAAGTTTTGTGTGGTAGTAGCTGAGAGTCAGCCACAACACACATTATGAGTGCTAACTGATGCGTGCTGTTGAGGTCAACATTCTTTTGAAGATGTGTCTAAAACAACCATAACTCCATCATGTTGACATCAGGTGATCTTAGGTCAGAGTTCTGACATGAATGTGGGGCGTTAAACCGAAGTTTCACAGTTTTTACTCTTTTCCTGATCGTTTTCTGTTTTCTTTCAGTTTTGTTTCCGTGATGGCGCCGTGTGTCGTCTCCCTTCTCACTCACCTGCTCCTGCTCATACATCACTTCCTGCCCCTCACCCTGTCCTTACTCCACCCGCCCGTGCACGGGCCCACGCTGGTCCCCCGCACCCCGACGCCCCTCGGCCGCTCCCGCTTCAGCGCCCAGACTCAGCTGGACCTCACGACCCACTGCAACTCCAGCTGCTTCCACCGAGGAGGTCAGGAGGAGCTGAGGGAGCAGCTCACCGACAAACTGGCCTTCGAGACTCTCTACTCAAACGGTTTCCGCACTCTCACCACAGTGGATGTGGAGGACGATGAGGAGGTCGATGGTGATGTGGGTCACTTTGATCACCCGTCTCCATGGAGACTGAAGCCGAGGCGAGTGAAGCGGCAGATCTACGGTGCTGATGGGCGCTTTAACATCAAAGGTGACAACTTCCTGTTGGATTACCCTTTCTCCACAGCTGTCCGCATCTCCACCGGCTGCACCGGCGTTCTCGTGTCCCAGCAGCACGTCCTCACTGCCGCCCACTGCGTGCATGATGGGAAAGATTATGTGCATGGAGCGCGGAAGCTCAAGGTGGGGTTCTTGATCCCCCCATCCATCAACGGCACAAAACCCCGCTTGGTTTCCAACAAGAAGCCTCTGGTTCGTTGGGTGCGAGTGAAACGAACCCGCGTACCAAAAGGCTGGATCCAGGGCCCTCAGGAGGTCAGCATGGACTTTGACTATGCCCTGCTGGAGTTGCGCTGGCCCCACCGGCGGCCCTTCATGCGCCTTTCTGTGGCTCCCTCCTCAGATGACCTGGCAGGGAATCGCATCCACTTCTCTGGGTTTGACAGCGACCGGCCCGGGGAACTGGTGTACCGATTCTGTCCTGTGGAGGAAGAGTCCAGCGACCTGATCTACCAGCACTGTGATGCTCGGCCTGGGGCCAGTGGCTCCGGGGTCTATGGACGAGTGTGGGACAATGATCTGGAGCGCTGGGATAGGAAGGTTATTGGGATTTTCTCTGGCCACCAGTGGCTGGAGATCGATGGGGAGAACAGGGATTACAACGTGGCCGTGCGCATCACTCCTCTGAAGTTTGCTCAGATCTGTTATTGGGTCCATGGAAACCGAATGGACTGCACTCAGGACTAAGGAACATCATTAGCCTAAAGATACACAAGAGCTAGGGGTGTAACGAGATCTTGTGCCACAAGATCTCAAGTGTTCTCATTGGGTACAAGATGGACTTGGGACTCTTGAACACCTGCCTTACATTGTTTGTGTTTTTCCATCATTTTAATAAGTTTGTAGCTTCTTGAATTTTTATTGAGGCTTTTTTTTAAAACTGTTTTGCTGCGATAACACATCTTCACTAAAAATTAAGTTTAAAAAAATTAAATATAAGGAATACATAAACAAAAAATCCAATACATTCTGTTCTGACAGATATAAAAAAGGTACCTATACTGTTAAATTCACATTTGTTTTCTTACACTTGATTGGGTTTTTGATTCTGGCTCCTTATGAGTTGGGCCCTACAGAGTTCAAAGGTCAAGAGCTTTAAGTCAGAAGGTCGTTCATAAACAAAGCATTGTTCAGAAGTCTGAAGAGACTCGTGACAAATCAGACACGAGGAGCCAGTCAGCTGAGTCTGTGACAAAAGTCTAAATGTTATTAAACTCTCAGCTCGTTCCCAGGATCCTGTGAGACGAGTGTCTCGTTACACCCTAAGAGCAGCGTCTTGAACAAAACAGGCTTATTTCTGTGCAGATCTCTCACTAAAGCCACTAAAACATTTTTAGGTCAATTCAGTGATTGTTAAATAGGCACTACATATGAGACTATCACCACTGCATCTTCATTAACGTCAGCGTTTCCAAAATAACTAGTCACTTCTTGCAAGAACAATTTTACTCAAGTTAGAAACAGATCGTTCTGCACTGGGGATAAAAATAATCTATGGACATTTTCATGTCTCAAAACACAGAACTGTTTTAACATTTCAACAGAGAATCTATCCTTTTTCTGGTAAACCAGTAACAGAATTTATTTTTTGTAAAAATGCTTGATATATTTTAATAAAGAGATTTAAGCGCGTGTCGTGTTTTGTACAGTAGCATTAGGCTGCCCTCTTGTGGACTTCATGTTTATTACAGCTTTGTTAACGTATTCATGTTTTTGTTGCAAATTATTTTACAGGAAATAATGTAGAAACCTTTACCTTAGTAAGCATGTCTAAAGTTTCTAAATGATTATCTTTTTAGCATTTTAGAAACAACTGAAGCTGATCTTAAACTGGATGAAAATCTTAATTTTTTTTGTGATCCAGTGTACCATAATTCTTTTACACAATTAAAATCCCTTGTGGGTAAGTTTATTTCACATAAAAACAAATGGCCAAAAAGCTCAGAGCACTGAATTTAAGTGATAAAAAGGTCAAAGTAGAAGAAGTCAGTAGTTTAGCGCTTTTTATTAGAGATAAGGAGACGATACAAAACATCCATTCAGTTTTGAGTCACTGATTACTCATCCTTCACATCACATCGCTCCCCAACAAAACAACACCGGAGGCTTCAAAACGAGGAAATCTTGGTTTTAACGAGCACGAGGAATGTGTTTTATCTACATCAAATATGGTGTTCTGATGCAACCGGAAATAAAAAGGAATCACTCAAGTTTTTTTTAAATTGCATGTTTAAAAAAATAAAATAAAATTTGACCTCATTCCCCCAGAAGGTTTTGATACTTGTTTTGTGCAATCAAGAATGAATTGGTTCTACTACTAAACCCATTTTAAAATTACACACGCACACTATATAATGAGAAGTTTGGCAAAAAGAAAAAAAGAATAAAAGAAGCTGGAATAATTGTCAGGATTCAGTGATTGGAAAAGAAAAAGGTAAATTTCTGTCCCTTTCTCTGCAGTCTTTCAAGTGGAACCCGTAAAGAACAAAACCCTGTTGTTAAACATGAACAAGTGTATTTTAAACTTTTATCATCCTTCCTCAGTTGCATCTTAACAGTTTTCTTCATGCGTAATTTCTTCATAAACTTTTATGTTGCGAGAACTAGAGCCTGCCATATTTTTTTTAATCGAGTCCCTGAAACCCCAAACCCACCTGCTGCACCCCTCCCAGAGTCCCACAAATGATGCTAGTTCTGCTTATGCCCTTCTCCAAACCCAAACTGGAATGAACAGCTAAACCCGACAGATGTGTCTGAAAGGATTCGATCGAAGCCGGAGAAGAAGGGAGGAGTAATTATATAGGGCATCCTTCCAGGCTGACTACTGCGCCGAGCTTCTCTGCCAGAGCGTGCCGGTCCTTCAGGTCCTCCAAACCGTTCACCTGCCACTCGTGTTTGATACCTGTGGCACAGAAAGCACCAGTCAGAAACGCCATGACGGTCACCAGGTACTAAAACGTATCACGTCTTTTCACAGCAGTTTGACAAAACCATCTCATGTTGAGAAATGACAGTTTATGACCTTATGTCACCTGCACAGTGTGTGTTGCAAATGATTCTCAGCTACTACCACAAGTTTTCTCTGAAAATCTTTGAAACTGGCTGAATTACAGCTATTTTTGTTGGCTGATGGTGACTAGCCATGACATCCATCCTGAGATGGACTGACTCCTAAAACCAATCCAGTGATTTGTTAAGATATTTTACACACACAAGCAAAAACAAATCTCCCGCCTTCGCAGGCGTACAATAAATATTCAGTTATCCTTCAAATATCACCTGAAGAAAACATCACCTTCCTGATTCAAAACTCAATAATTTACCATTAAACCCTTTTTCTGACGCAGTTTAAAACCTAAAGTCACAATAAACAAATAGTTTCCAATTACTTACCTATAGTAACTAAATTATTTAATCAAAGTACCGGTGTGTTTTTATTCTAACAAACAAATCATCTGATTTTGAAAAAAGCAGGCAAAGCAAGAACTTGTTCACTGTATCGACTACAGGTCGACCTTTATTTATAACCGATGCCAGGGATGGACAGCATATTAAGGTCAATAGAAAAAACACATTTAACAAAAAGATTTACCAACAAAATAAGAACTTGTTCACCTTAAATAAGATGTAGAAGAGCATTGTAACTTAAAAACAACTTCATTGACCTTTTTAGTTAATATTTAGGCCCCACGTGGCCAAATACATTCATAAATACACAGGTGTGGCTGTTGTTGTTAAATGTGTCTTTAATGTAAACCACAATTTATTTATGGCTTTCTGCCCAAAAGTAACTAGTCTTTAGTGCTTCTTTTAAATGCTGATGACTCAGGAAAGTGAAAAGTGTTCAACAAGTCATTTATTTCCTGGTCGCACAGGAGTTCTTCCAACAGGTTCTTAGAGGAAGACTGATAGAAAACGTCTGCTGCATTTATACGTTATGAGCGATGAAAGGGATTTCCACAGAAAGTTGTTTATTGAAAAGCCCTAACAGCTTACTGAGAATGGTGTATCGAGTGAAAAGTGTCATGTAATCATTCTCTGTGGGTTTGATGCACACCATCTGACTCCATATGTGACCCAGCACATCAAACAGAGGATTATTTGTTCAAAATGAACGGTGCAAATGTTCAGACTCCTAACTTTTCAGGTTACATTTTGATACCTACCATAGATCATCCTATTATGACCTGTTCCAGACTTGATTTTGTCTTGATAATTTGGATAGTGGTGAGAAAATTGGTCTGAAATTATATTTTTGGGGGGATTCTAATGAGGATTTCTTGAATGCAGCACAGGGTAAGTAGCACAAATGTATCAATTTGTGCTTAAAATCCCTGTTAGTTGATGGCACAAAGCAAACTGCTTCAAAACATTCTTTAGGGTTATATCTTGGACACAAAGGAAACTATAGATAATTAAAAAAGTGAAATTGTTGTAAGTTTTTCAAGCTTTTTACCTTCAAATTTCCTCTTAATAGCATCTTTTGAGCTGGCATAGATCATCTTGCTCTTCAGTGGAGCACTGTCTGGAGCCCTGTGAAAGTAGGACAAATATCTCAGTCCGATGTAATTCAAACATCATACATCATCATGTGATAACTCCTGTCCTCACCAGAAGATAAAGACTAGGTCCTCCTTCTTTGTTTCTTTGGTCTCATACGTGGCGTCATACAGAGCGTAGCGGCAGTCGTTGGGAGGGAGCATCTTCACAAAATCTTGGTAAGGGTCCTGAACGGTGACCCCCAAGTCACCCTGCAGGATCTCATTGCCTTCATCCAGAACAATGTTCTTGAGATCTTTGCTCAGGCAGAACAGGACAGCCTTCTTCCTTTTCCTCTTCTCGTCCTCATTGGCCTGAGCTTTACGCACCTTCATGTCGTTGAAGATCGCGATAACTTCATCTGTGACTTTCACACCGGAGGCCTACACGGACAACAAATCATTCATGGATTGTTGAAATGCAAAAAAAAAAAAAAAATAGTAAATTATTTCTCACTTTATGCTAAATCTGTTTTTTTTTTGATAAAATGAAAATAAATTTAATAATTTGCACAAAAATTCTGCCTTCAGGAAATTTAGAAATTTGTTTAAGTTCTAACAAATGTCAGAATATTAGTTTAATCCTGAAGATAGTCTGCAGTTTTACAGTAATGATGTGGCCTTTAATTTTAACAGGGGCAACTTTTGTCAGAAACAAAACAAAAGACCTGTTCTTGAGCATTAACAAGCTACACACGACTGCTCCAGAACACTGAAACGATGGAGCCAAGGAGGAGCCAAGAGGATGTTGTGTGACTCAAGAACCCTCCTCCATAGTAGGAAGACTGATAAAAATGCACTGAAACACAAAAAAGTGCGGCCATTACACACTGGAAGTGTTCAGCTGTGTGAAGCAACGTTAAAATAATCTGCGATACAAATAAAACTGTGATAATTCAGTCAACTGAGCCATTTACTACATTTAAGGTGAAGCAGGGGGGCAGTGTAAAGAAAGATAGGTCCTCCTCATATAAAGTCCACTTTTATTATTAATACTAAATGAGTTAAGGCGTGTGCACACTTTGTAGTCAGTAGGTCTAAAACACAAGTTCCTTTTGGGAAACCGTTGTGCATCTCAGCGAGGACCATGTGGGCGAGACTCAGAAACAATGAAGCCTCTGTTTAAATACAGAATATAAATGAGTACTCCCTCAATCAGGTCTTCTGACTCTGTTTAGGCACTCTCACAAGAAAACCTAGTCTCTGGAAAATAAAACTGTTATCTACCATCAGTATGTCACTGGGGTAGAAAACAAACACAATGCAAAGGAAATCCCCAAACAGAAAACCAGCTTGAGTGGACACTGTTTGTTCAGGAGGTCGGTAGTAGATAAAGTTTCAGACTAATAATTAACCAGTAAACCATAGTCTCCCCCATCCATAAAGTAAACATGATGATTGAATATTTATTACAGGTTCTGATTGCAGTTACGCACTCCTCCCCACAAAATACTAACATTTATAATTTTCTGAACTGTCTATTAAAGCACTAGGCACATCCTGATTATGTTTAAAAAAAAACTGACTGAAGGCACACAAACTATATCAAGTTTAAAGGATTATTTTTATATTTTCATTTCCTGCTGTCCATCATGACAATGTCTGCCACAACACTGTTTGTATTTAGTTTGTTTTTGCAGCAGAAATCCTTCTGGTGAACTTCCCAAGCTACCACCTTATCTAATCTTAACCATTTATATTGTTCTTTATAGGATTCAAGGTTCAGCTGACATAAGAAGTCACAGTCCAAGTCTTTTAGAGCTCACACCTTCAACATGGAGGGAAGGTTCATCAGCAAACATCAGCTTAAAGGGCTCTTATTCACAATGAGTGAAAACTGTGCACTCGGCAAAGAGAGGCAAAAATACAATGAAAGGCCTCTCTCTCGTAAATGAGTCCTCCAGGCTCAATGGGATTTATCTGTCTAAATAAGGGTTGAATGCATGTCGCCTACTGCCTTTTTCACATCAGTTTAAACTAAGATCATCTTATGATGAAGAGCTGACAAAGTTGTAGCCTTGAAAATAACATTACGCACAATCGACTCTCAGCTACTACACCAAACTTTAGCTCAATATCCGTTAAACCAGCTTGTGTTGGCTATGTCCACTAGCTGTGGCAGCCATCTTGAGTTGGAGGTGGCTCAAAAAGAAATTAATGTATTGTAGAGGTACATCCATCCAGTGGGTTATGAGTTATTTTACTAACATTAGACAAACACAGAAACAAACAAAATATACATTTGCTTGTATTTGTTTCACGACTATGAATGAGTTTAGATTTAATTAATAGGTAATAATGTCTGTTCACTGGTTGTGACGGCCATCCTGCGCATAATAATGCGCAAATAGATGAAACAAAATGCGCAGCAGCAACCATGAGCTATTCTAGCCTCAGCTATTCACTCAAAGCTGCCAAACCGCAATTACATAATGCTACTAATGTTTGTTTACTGCACCACAAAATTTATCCATTTTAAGCCCCCCATTCCTATACAACTGGTTTTGGTGTCGTCGCCACACGACACAAAACAGTGTCCCTTGCACCAAATTCAGGGTGGGGTCGTGAATGCAGCAGAGCTGGAAAATCCGGTTCATTCGAGTCACTTGGTGTAAAAATAAATAAATAAAATAAAAACTGCACAAAATGAGACCGTCCGTCAAATCACGCGTTTAGTTTCACTGAGGTTTATATGAGAATCTGCTCATTTATTATAAAGTCCAAACGGGGAGTTTAAATCGAGCTGATCCGCAGTGGACGAAGGAAGCCAGGCAGGCAGACAAAGAGACGGGAGCTGCTAAATCTCCGCTAGCGCCAGTCGTAAAAAAAAAGGGAGTCATTCCGCTATTTCCTTCCCATTCAGGTACCGCTATCCGCAGCACCTGCTGCCGGCGACGTGCTCCCATAACACGGAGGTGAAATCAGAAACACGACGCAGTGAAACCGCAGGAGCGGCGTCATGGCAACGCAGAGCCCAAGAGACGAGAAGCGGTGCCTTTTTGTCCTCCCCCGACACGAAGACATGAACGAAATGGCGCCAGTTGTTTTGAATGATTCTGGTGCATCTCCTCTTATCACAAACTTGTAGGAAACACACAGCACGGCGTTGTTGACTGTACGCTACATTTCCATAAAACGATTACATTGTGTCATGTTACGGTGTTATTAGCTGCCTAGCTTCCCCGCCAGCAGAGCCATTCACTGCGGCTAGCCTCGGAGTTAGCCGTGGCTCCGCCTGCGGCATTCCAACCAGCTTGCTTTGATGTTTTAACAGAAATGTCCGCAAAATAAACGAAAAGTTGACTTGAATAAGCTCTACACGTCGAGGATTTAATAATAAAACGAGGATAATTAAATAAAAACGTGGTGTAAAATCCATTAAACCTACCATTGTTGGAGCTCTGAATAGTTCAACGTCTGCGAGGAATTGAATGAACGGATGACGGTTCTGCTCGCGCAGTCGCGCTCTACGGGAGCGCGCGTCCGTTATAACCCTATTGTACTGCTGCTTTTAACGATTGGCTGAGTGCGGCTGATGCCCCGCCCACGTCAAAAATTTCAGTAAATAACAATGAATGGTTAGTGCTGGTTTGGTTTCTGAGATATTAATAATTATTTTTAGGGTCATCCAGAGGTCACCATCCCCCCATCTTGCTCCAGAACAAACAAAACTGGTCGACTTTTTTAGTGCTTCGTTGGTGCCGTTAAAACCGTCATTTGGACATCCCACACCCACAGCTGAGTTTTGGTGTTTACTGCCAGACGGTCCCAAAATCGCGAGGGTGGGCCGTAAATTTGCCTGAGTTTTATTATTACTATTTTTTTTTTATCATGACGCAAATAAAACAAAATTATAAATAAACAAAACGTTAATTCACTGTTATTGATCTTCATATGTTCTTAAGCTCTTCTTTTTCATATATTAGCACTTTTCTTTACTTGGGCCACGAAGATAAGCGTGAATCCCTGCTAATAGAGTAATTAAACCTTAAACACATATTTGTATGATTTAAAATCTGTTAATCCCAGATGGCATAAGTTATTAAATTGCCACATATATTTTTGCTAGGTGTCCATTTTTAAAAGAAAGGGAGGAAATCGAAATTTTCCACCATCCATGCCTCCTTTCTCCTCCCCTCCATCCCGTTTTTGTTGAACTCACTTCCAAATATGGAAGTGAACTGCGAACAGCGGCGGTCAGTGCACGCGCCTCCTCGCTCCCGGCGCGATGAGGGTCGGACCAGGATGCTCGGACAGCTACGCTGATCACCATATAAGGACACGAGGGGACGCGACTGTTGAAAGATTATTCTGTTCAGACAGCGTCGCTTTGTGGGGAGAGAAGTGGGGCAGCCAGTGCAGAGGTGGGAGGCAGATGTCTTGGAGGAAGATGAGGGACAAGAATGACGAAACACGATATTTTTAAACACACACCTCTAGGACCAGGGTAAAGTGATGCAAACCTACGGTATGGCAGACCGTTGTAACCTATAAAAACACTTTTCACACACCAAAAACTGCTGAGTTAAAAAAAAAAAATACCCACTTTGAATTATGTTCTAAAACAGAGCTGGATCAAATTTGATCCAACTCAACCCTGGATTAATTTATGTCTACAGGGTTGACCTAAAATACTGGGATGTGTTTTCTACCCAATAAATGTGACCTGTTCAGGCAAAGTCATTGAATTTTTCCACCATCCAAGTTGTTATCTTCAAATCCTCCACCTCAGAAGATTCAAAATGATATGCAGTTTGTTGGATTTTAGTGGTTTATCACCTAGCATGGGAGCTAGTATTGCTTGAAAACTTAGTCTGGAACATGGGATGTCAGCCCTATATTTGAAAAGAAGGGAATCCCCAGTCTTCACAATAATGTCAAACGTTATAGGAAGGGCTTTTCCAGCTCTACTGTAGCCAGAAGAGAACAATGGATCATGTCTGATAATCCATTGCTTCAGCTTTTTCTTCGTTTTATTTTCCCTCTTCATGGGTTGCCACAGCAAGTCGTCTTTCTCCATCTCATTGTCCTCTGGATCCTTTGTTCTTGCTCCATCTACCTCCATATCCTCCCTAACTACATCTTTTTATCTCCTCTTTGGCCTTTCTCTTTTTTTTCTTCCTGGCAGCTGCATTTCTGACATCCTTCTACCAATATACCCACTCTCCCTTCTCTGGACATGTCCAAACCATCTCAGTCTGGTCTCTCAAACTTTATCTTCCAGTTGTTCAACCTGTGTTGTACCTCTGAAGACCTTGTTCCTAATCTTATCCATCCTTGTTACTCTTTGAGAACCTGGTCCCCAACATCTTCATTTCTGCCACTTCGTTTTCTCCTGTCTTTTTTGTCAGTGCCACTGTCTCCAGACCATACAACGTAGCTGGTCTCACCACTGTCTTGTAAACTTTTTCTTTGACCTTTGCTGACACCCTTTTGTCACAAATCTCTCCTGAAACTTTTTTCCATCCACTCCGTCCTGCCTGGACTCTCTTTTTCACCTCTTTACCACATTCCCCATTTTCCTGGACAGTGGACCCCAAGTACTTGAAATCCTGCACCTTTGTGACCCCTGCTCCTTGTAGCCTCACTGTTGACCTCCACCTCTCCAAGTTCTCTTCCACCTGTTCCGTTCTCACCACAGATCACAATGTCATCTGCAAACATCATAGTCCACAGGGATTCCTGCCTGACCTCATTTGTTAGTTGGTCCATCAGAGCAAACAAGAAGGGGCTAAGTGCTAATCCTTGATGCAGTGTCTCCACCTTAAAGCTAAGAAGAAATTGGTTATTCTGGTGAAAAATAAAGTTAAATTTTAAATATTCTGTGGCAATACAGCCACTTCAGATTCACACCTAATTGTTTTAGTGGTGGTAATTGATGCAGAGTTCCTGTGTTTTGGCCCCGCTTTCTACTGTTGTTGAGAATCGAAGCCAAGAAATCCCAGTTTCAGGGAGTTGCCACTTGTATTTTTGTAACCAGTCTGTGCCTGGGGTCCAGCTTACAACCAAGGTGTCACATGACCTTTCTTTTAGGAATAACTCATCACACACATATACATTAATGTTTGAACATACAACAGCAAGGTAAGAACCAAAAAAAAAAAAAAAAATCAACTTGCACCTAAAAATACACTTTTCCCCCCTAGGGCAACAATATATTAGTTTACATGGAGGCAGGGCTTAAAACTTGAACTGGAACCAGAATATAGAGTAATTGGTCTCATTTTGGTTTTTGATCGAAGATATATACATAACAATTTACTATCTGGATATAAAACTCCAATACATAAAAAAATGAAACAAATGACAAATTGTACTTGGAAGAATATAATAATATTTCAGATATCTGAAAAGTTAATTGCAGACCAGTATTTTCTGGATAACCAAAATGTTCATTTTGTTTGCCAAGGAAGACTTGAATTTGAATATCTGCTTTGAAGAAATTGTCCAAATATTAAGATGATACAGCTGAACTCATATTTAACACATTTGCTGACAGTATAAGATGTTCACGTGACTGAAAGCGACATTATCCTTCATTTTATACATTTTACTTAAGCAGAATATTCAACAGGTCTTGTATTCATTATCAAAGGGGGGAAAATGGGTCTCAGGCTCACAAGTCTTGTCCCAAAAGTTTATGTTCAACAATTAATACAAAAATGAAGTTACAAAACATGTGAACAAAGAGACAATTTTGACACAAACCATCTTTAAGACTTAACTAATTGCAATGAAATGTAAACGCCTGTCACTTAAATTTACTTGGGTTTTAACTTGCTGGATATACTGACTTTTGTGATGGTCAAACTGACAATTTCAAATACATAAAAAATAAGTAAATCAATTAAAAAAACAAAAAACAGACTGGAGCCGTACAGTAACTGTGTCAAGCTCCGTTTATTCTTAAAAAACAAACAAACAAAAAAAAAACCAACAGCATTTTGTCACATTGAGGCCATTGAACCACTGCAAGAGATGATTACACTGGTTATTACAATAATGCATGCATTTATTTTTAAATGTTTGGAACAAGCTGTGAGCAAAAAGCACCAAAGAGAAGAAGTGCAAAAGTAACTGCTCGTAAGACATCCTGGTCTCCTGCTCTGCTGGGAAAGGACAGACATACAAAAGTGCAGCATGGTGGTAAAAAAATATGATTCTTTCATGCTTTTAGTCACTTTTTACCCTGGATTCTCAAGATTTGCATATCTAGTTTACTATATACTATCAAGCTGCATTTATAAGCTTTTTTCAGTTGTTTTCATTGTATGTTGGGGTGCCATAAATTTAAAGTTGTTAAAGTGCACATTGAGGCAATATTACACCACAAGGAGCACACTTCTCTTATTTTCAAATTAAACTGTGGCTATTTTAAAAACATTTCCCATTTCACTTCTCCAAACAAAGAATGACTTTAAAATGCATTATCACATTCAGAGGGGGGATCGTTGCAAATAAGCACAGCGCTTTAATCCACAAACAAATTTATTGAGCTGGCCCAAGACGCTCCGCTTGACCCCCAAAACAGAAAGCGACATAAATCCTTTGTAAAACCTGAACACAACAGGAAAAATATGGCTAAATTTGAGCATTTTTACTTTTTCTTTTGTGTTGTGCAACTGTCATATGTAAGATATTTGGAATAAAATCTGGAATGAAAGCTTTATTTTGTATATTTGTCAACCAAGAAAGTAACAAATATTGAAAATGCTTAAATATCTTATTTACTTGCAGGCACGGAGCAGCAATATAAGCTTTTTATAACGGTGAAAAATCAGTGCTGCATCTGAGTAGCACTGATAGTTTGCTAATGTAACACTGGAAGTTAATATTTTGAGATGAGTGCACAAGTTAAATGACTACATTAGCATTATTTTTTACCCTGTCTTGTCCATTTTTTACACATGTTCAACATCACATGGGGCAGCTACAGTCGTCACTGCTGGTTCCTCAAGTTTTGTTTTTGGTCTGTTTGAACATCGTTGTGTGTTCGTTGCACGGGAATTAAGTGTTTTCTCGCTGACATCAGTGTCTTTTTAAAAGTTCAAGACTAAGTGTTTTTGTTTACTCCCTTGTGTGTATTTTTGCTAATATTCTCTTACACATGCAGATAATGGAGTAAAGAGTATAATTTAAACATTTAAAGCTATCTCTTTGGTTGACTGATCTTTATGTCATAAAATAGCCTTTCTGAAAGAGCTCAAAGCTTTTATAGACTATATTTCACAATAAAATGCATTCTCTAGCTTTGTGTCTATTGTTTAGCACTAAGAAGGTATAATATTGTTCCACCAAGGAGTGAATGGAAAACTATTGAAAGTACATGTAGCATTTTAAATCTGCAGCATTACTATGCATAGAAAGTGCATTTAATTTCTTCCTCCAAAAGAAAGAATGACCACCCTACAAGAAATGCTAATTTTTTTTTACTATTTTAAAGCAAATATACAAAAAGAATGGAATGTTTTAAGGTGGAGAGTAAAAACCAGAGCTGTAGAAAGACGTTTAAATGAATAAACTGTTTTATGAAGTATCTGAAAAGCTCAGAACTACCAATGTCTCAGATATATTCCGCCTAGTGAGACGCTGCAGGTAATAAAAACTGGATTGTAATGACATTTAAAGGTAAACAGAGACTTGTCTGTTAAGTTCAGCTTGTAAACTCGTTAAATACCGGCAGTGTTTTATGGAAATAAGACCGATCAGAGGGTATTGAAGTGGCTGCCTTTGAGCCTGGACTTTACCAGGCTGAGTGATCTGCAGGACAGAGATGCTGGTGAACCGACCCGGTGTGGTGACCCAGAGTCACTGTGGATGATAAGGCTTCAGAACGTGTGCTTGTGGTGTGTGGCATTCGCTTTCAATTGGGAGATTGTGAGGGTTCAGAGGTCCTTTAGCTGGATTTCTTCTGGTAATTGACGTCTGTCCCTCTTGACTTATTTAACATCACGGTGGCCTGAAAACAGAAGAAGAGCCGGTTAAATCGAGCGCATGCTGACTCAAGAACGTTACACAATATTCACTAACTTCACAGATTTTATTTTTAACTTTGACAACAAACGGAGTCTGAAATCTTGGCTTCTGAAGGCATTTTTAGACTCACTGTTGGTACTTTCACTTTTACAATTTGTCCTTGTTTATACCCAATCAGCTCATCATTTATTCATTTTGTAGTTTTATTTAATCAACATGTTAAATTATTTGTGTGACCGCTGAGTCTGCCATTCAGGCATCAAAACGTTCAGCTCGTTCAGGACTTTACAGCTATACAGTTTGTTTTCTTTGTAACTTTTGTACTTTTTAAAATATTTAACTTTACCGTATTTTTAGCTGTATGTGGTTTTTTGCATAATTTGCATACCCTGCAACTTAAGACGCCGAAGCAACATATTTATATTATTTTCCCCATATTTATAAACCAATTTTTGGCTGAGATATGACGGTTTTCATTCATTTTCACTGAAAATATTGAAGACATTTTTCAGTAGCTAGATGGCACCAGAGTGGTATAGCATGTCGTCAAGTCATGTAATAGGGAAACGTGGCTATTAATGACACAATTGGCTTACCACAGTTAGACTGAGACACACCTTTACTATAATGTTGAGCAAACAAATAATTGTTTTTAAGTGTTAATCTTGTTAAATTCTTGTTAAAGCCCTCCTGTGCACGCTCCCGCAGCCGCCATTTGGCAGCCCATCGATTTTTGGCACAACACCGGCCCACATTTCTGGGTTGTCAGCGGTGACGTGTAACAAACGCAACACGTCAGTGGTGATTTATAATAGATGCGACTTATACGGCGAAGCAATGTATTTATGGATTTTTCCACTTTATTAGACATATTTGGACTGATGCGACTTATAGAGCAGTGCGACATGTACAACGGAAAATACGGTACTTACATTTTTGTTTCTCATAGAAATGCATTGAAATCTTTCATAATCCAACTTGGTGCCCAAAATCTACTTCAGCACATTTGCTTTATTTGTGTTTCTGCTCCCTTTTAGCTCCTTATGGATTGTCTCCTTATGAGTTACTTTTGCTTTTTATATCTTTTAGGTGTTGTTCTTTTTCCATCTTTCTGTATTTTCTGTCTATCCAACTCTTGTGTCTCTTCTTCTTTAAATATTTTAACTAACATTGAACGTTCAATTATTATTCAGTTGACCTTTTCCCCCCACCCCTGTAAATTTCAGCTAAACCATTTAGCATTCACAGCACATTTTAGCAGAAAATGCTAATTTTCTTAGCTGCAGTTGTATTTATTTCAAAACTAGAATTTACCTAAAAGGGACTGAAACAACGCACAGAAAACTGCTCTTGAAATGACACCAAAAAGAGAAAGGAGAAACTTCAGCAATATTTACCATAATCTACAAAAAGTTAAGAGATAACAAACCTGTTCATTCAACCTTTATCTATACAGGTTAGTCTCATTTAGCCACGAGGACTCATTACAAGAGATCTGTTGCAAAATATATCAAATTTAAATCCTAATTACTCAAACTGTGTACATTTTTAGAAGGTCCTGACACAAAAAAGCTCTATTGATGTAATTTTCTTTACATAAACAACAGGTTACCAAAATATTATGCTTAATTCTAATATCTAATTCTAATATTAAAAGAGATTTTTAATCTCAATGGGACTTTCCTGGTGAAATAAAGGTCAAATAAAATATTGGTGCATCTCTTTATGTCCCCCATCAATTGCTCCCTCTAGTGGCAACAACAAGTACATCAGTTGGAAACAAATGTTCATAATGTGTGGCTTAAACAAAAACTGTTATTTCTTTCTTCTCACCTGCTCCAGGACGACACCTGCGGCCTGGTCGATGGTCCCGCCCACATTCTGGTAACGGCCAGTGTAGCGGATGAAGGCCCACGTCAGCATGGCCACCATGACCAAGCCCAGAGTGCAGTCGCTCACCACGGCGAAGGTGGACAGGCCGATAAAAAACAACAAGCCAGACAGAATGTAGAGGAAGCAGATCAGCACAAAGAGCACGGCGGGGGTTCGGAAGGCGCTGAAGAGGTTTTTAGCCTTTCAAAAAAAAAAAAAAAAGACAAACAGATGATTAACAGATCAACCAATGCGACCACGAGTTCCACAAATTCTAAACGAAAACAGTTAAAAGCAAACGAGCCACACCTCATTCTGTTTGCCATAAGACAGCCACATGTCCTCCAGCTCCTGCTCTAGCTGCCGCTGGTATCGGTCACAAAACTCCTGCCCGCCCATTTTCTTGGTGGACGCAAACGTGTGGATAGCTTCTCTGTAGAAAAAACGGTGTTTCTCCTCCAGCGAGTTGGGATCCATATAAGGCAGGTCTCCTCCACAAATCTAAATGGGAGGATACAAAAAGACAGAGCAGTTGAAAGTTATATCAGCTATTATTCTTTTTGACACAAATACACTGCATGTTTGCGTCAAACAGCTAGTAAAGGATTAGCATACGGCATAAAGACACGTGAGGTTGTGATTGAACAAACTCACCTTCTCCATATGCTTGTTATACTGATCTTTAGCTGTTGCCACAGCTGCCAGGTTGTTGGCCTCGGCTGTAGCCTGGTGAATCAAAGGCATACATCTTGATTATATCACACCTAAAACAATATTTTCATAATGAAGCGTAAAAATTCTGCACATACCATGAGCATAGTCTTTGGCTCTGGCAAATCTTCTCCTTGGTATATTTTAATATAGGCCTGAAAACAAAAATAAAGTTGTGACAAGCTGTTTTGGGTGCAGCAGAGGCACTAAGAGGATGTACATTTTACCTTAAAGAACTCAAGCAAGCCTCTGCATGTGACTTTGTTTCCGTTTATTTCTTTCTCAGCCAGGTAGTTGGGATGCAGCAGTTTAGGAATCAAAATCTCCAGCTGCTCTTTGAATTCTGGGGCCACGTCTGACAAGACACCAAAACTCAGTTAGCGATTAGCATTGTGCTGAATGGGATCCTTTAATGACTTAAACCTTAACCATCCAAGTCTTACCATGAAGTTGTCCTTTAAAAAAAGGACTGGTGGCAACCTTCAATCCAGGATGAGGCAGCAAGAAGCAGGAGATCTTGGTGAAGCAAGAACGGATGTGTTCCCTCACTGTCTGCAGCTCTTGATGCTGAGCTTCTTTCACCTTTAACCACAAAACCCCATTCAAGTTGGTCTTTAAAATCAGCTGCATGCATTGTAACTGTGGTGTGTTTATTATATTTGATCAAGCCAAAAGACAAACTGGTACCTGTAACCGTTTTTCCAGGAAAGCATTCCCGCCTTTAAACCCGTAGGAGTATTCGTAGGGAAAGCTCCAGTCCCGGACTAAAAACATCAAGGACTGCGGGATGAGAAAAAGTCTCAGTATTAAACAAAGAAAGAAATCTTTGGTGTAAACATAAATAAGCTTAAGATGAGAGACAAAAATCAGAAAATGGAGTTCTTGTACCTGAAAAGGCTTCTGAAAGATCTCATCCATGGCGAGACGACCATACTCTGTGAACAGCTGGACGGAAAAGGCACAAAATCATAAAAAAATTATTGCAGAAATGTAAAATCCATGAGTCTAACTAATAACAGGTAGTAAAATTATTAACAGAACCATCTGTAAACTGCAGAAAAGTTTATACTGTGTGCTTTATAACATATATAGATTCACAGTTAAACTCTTTATTTTTACTGATTTATTCACATTTAAAGTATAAAAACACAACTAGATGATGTAGCAAACAAAAAAACCCTCTGAGGTAGTTTTATTGCTACATTTAAACACGTTACAATTTTTGATGTTAATATTTAACGTGGTAAACTTTTAAAATGAGGAAAACCTAGTTATAAACCTGTTATAAGGCTTTTCTCTACGTTTTGAGACAAACTGACACGAGTTTGCCATTAATTTATTTACACCGTCAAGGGAATTAAGAGCAGAACGCCAAATGTAACCATGTATAATAAAACCTAGGAACTTCAATGCGCTCTAAAAATTCTAGGGGGCTAAAACAGGATGTGTCCTTTTCATTTTGCCCCCGTTTTCATCTAAATACAGTCAGCTGACAGGCGTGGTCTGGTTTTCTTATTTTCTGAACACAAAAATCAACGTTGAGTCATGAAAAGCGGCAAAATGGAGCTCGTCAGCAGTTTTTTTAGGAGTTAGACATTGACAGAGAGAATCAATGACTCCCACAGAGCTCATAGTTCTTTGTTATTTATTTAGGTTTACCCTCAAATGTTCAAATCTCAACAATCAAAGTCCAAATAAGAAAATAAATGTAACAATTAGAGCTTCAGTTTTACTAATAAAAGGTTGATGTTACAAACCCTACGTTGTCTTACGTCATCCTCTCATGTTTTTACTGACCACAGCCTGGATCTAACAGTAACGCATCATCGTAACTTGTGATGAAATGGTTTTAGCTGAGGGTACAGACTAAAGAAAGCTGGCTAGCGTGTTAACCTCTGTAGTAAATTCCTCAATAAAAAAAAAAGAAATGTCTTTGAATTTACACATGTACTGTTGTTTACATATATTCTGTTGATGAGCTCAGTTAATTTTTATTATTTCAACCAGTTTCTATAGAAAAATTAACAAAAATGCAAGTTTAATCAGACTGGTTTCAACATAATATGACAAAAAAAAATTAAAATGCTAAGTTTTATTTAATTGTCAGTTATGCAAACCTGTCTGGTGCAGGCCCACAATAAGACGAAGTGAGTGGAAATGACCAAGACAGACATTAATGAAAAGTTCTGGTTTTGTTTGAGGCATAAAAAATCATCTGGACTAACTCCTACAAGTTTAAAAATCATTCCTCTTTTAAATAACTTTAAAACACATTCTTAACTTCTTAACACAACAGGCCGTCGTTGCAACGCAAACAGACCTGCAGCTGCTGCAGATCATCCTCTTGAACGTTCTGCGAGATATTGTAGATCTGCAAAAGAGAAATCATGAAAACACTGCCAAAAAAAAAAAAAAAAAAAAAACGCAACGAGAAACTTTTAATCCAGAGGCAATCGGAGATGAGTCACCTGAACTGAACTGGTCATGGTGCTGAGGGCAAAGATGGTGGCACAGTCCTTCACTGTGGACTGGTCATCAAACGCTCCCTGAGTGTCCATCAGGACCACGGCCACCTACAAAGAGATGGACGGACAGTCAACAAGAAATCCATCGTAATAGGTTAATAACACACAGCCAAGTCACTGAGCACAGAGGTGGGCAAACACTTCTTGTTTTCTGATTTGCATCTAGAACATAGTCGAGTCGGGTCTGTCATCATTCTGTGTTCTGACTTCTGAGGTAAATGGAGCGCAGCATTAGACACAAACCGAGACTGTAAAAAACAAATTAAGAAAATATTCAGGGCTCAGCTTAAAAAGAACAGATTTCTATTACAGTAGCCCCTCGTTACTTTGTGGCTTGACTTTTGCGGACTCGCTCTTCCGCGGTTTTTCAAAGTAAGATTGTACATGAGAAAAAAAATAAAAAAAGATTGTACACGACACATGACTGTCAACTTTGACATTACTCACGTGACTGGGACAGTACGGGATACAGTAAAAGTTAACAAAAAAAAATAACACTTCGGACAGGCGTCGCCATTTTGTAGTTTTCTCTCAATAAGCCTACACCGTATCACCGCTCAAAAGGACTACATTTCCCAGAAGCCTACAGTGAAACACCCAGAATTCCCAACAGTGCTTCCAGCCATTGCTTTCTACTGAAATGGAGGGAAAGTTTTGATCCGATCCGAAAAAGTTCAGTGCTTATAGTGACTTCGGCACCCAGCGGATGCAGAGAGCTGTATGGAACCAACTGGGAATTGGATCAGAACTGGACTTCCAGCACAATCGAACAATCTGAGTGCTGCTTGCCAACCCAGGGAGCCTCTCTGGCTGGGAGGTGTCGCTTGTTTTCTCCAGCGCTCACCAGGACTTTTTTCATCCTGATTTGGACTCGACTGGGCCCATTGTGTGGTTTGGTTTGCAGTAAGTAGCTACTGTGCAGTACATATACGTATATTGTTAAAATTACTTGGGTTTAAGAGTTTAGATTGCAAGAGTGTGGGATGGGTTTATAAGGCCAAAAAATATATATAAATACTAAAATAAATATAGCGTTCCTACTTCGTGGTTTTTCACTTAATATGGGGGACTCCAGAACGTAACCCCTGCAATAAACGAGGGACTACTGTGCTAATCTGGGATGAACGGATGCAAAACAATCAGAAATCTTTCACTACATCTTTTGTTTCCAAGAAAACAAGCTCAGAGGAAAAACACAAGTACAGACCAACAACCAACTGGAGCAACAAGACTAAATAAAAAACTGCTGGAAGTTGAAGCAGCAAAAACAAGGGAAAACAATCTTCTACGTACATTTATCTATTTTCCAGATTACTTTTATAATAATCTGTTACATTTCTCAATGTTTGTGTCTTTATCCAAACATTGAGAACGTAAATCTACAATAAGTGCATGCAGAGGAAAAGCTGACCAATTTAGCTCTTCCTTCTGCACCCACTGAGGTCAATCTAATTTATTTATTTTTACAATAACCTACTCGGTGTCGGTCACTGTGGTCGCTCCCCTCTTTAAGCCGGGGACACACTACACAGCTTTCAGGGTTTACAAATTTAAATAGACTTGGGAGTACACACCAGCAGACTCGTTTTGATAGATGATTGCGAGACAAATGAAAGTCTGGGAATTACATTTAACATCTGCACCTTAAAAGTGATCAGACTACATGATTTATCAAACCAACTAAAACCAGCCGCGGTTTCTGTCATCCACATTTGCTTCGTCAACACTCTCCCCCTCTAGCTGTTCGTTACAAATACCAACTGTCCCTGAAGGAAGGCCAGCAGGAACTGTTTTACAGTCTATGGTTCACCACCATTGTTTTGATAGTTGCTTCTTCTCATCTTCTGACATTACATCCTGTGTCCCACCCTTTCTTTAACGCTGGCTGTTTGACCGACTGTGACTCAGTAAAAAAAAAAGTGTTTATCTTCAGCTTTAAGCATGTGGAGTAACTGTGAGCACCTCTCAAACCTCTTAGACGAAACGTTTCTACATTTTTTTGGTTGTTTTACTTTCTTTTTTTTTTTTTGAATGTCCAGAGGACCAGATTTAACTTTTTTAGATGCGAGCACCTCTGTTCCATCGCTTTTTTGGACAGAGAAAACTTCACTCCACAGCTGGATGCCTGTCGTCTCTGGCTCCGAACCGCCTCTCCAAGAAAACCCAGTCAGTTCCTCGTCGTCCTTACCCAGCCAGTTCTCATCACCCTGAAGAAACGTAAATTACACAATGAAAACACAAACCTCCGGCGAACTGAACACAGCTGGCTCAGGTTGTCTGACAGAACTTCAGCTTTGTTCAAGAAATGAAAGAGGTCTTGTTGCGTCATGTAAATGGACTCTTTTGCCATTTTGCATAATTTAAAACACAAGCAGTTGTCTAAGAGTGCAAAGCTTTCAGGTCATGGCTACCATCTCGCTTCTAGTTTTACTCGACTGAGCAAAAGATTTAATGGAAGTCGTAATTTAAGACTTGATGTTGGAGCAACAGGAAATGTTTTAATGGAGATAAGAAAAATCTATAAAGATCATCAGTGAGTACAGCAAGTGTAATCTCTGACATGATGTAAAAACCATTAAACAGATGGAACCTTCTTAAGAAAGACAAGAGCTAAACTCTTCATTTGTAGTTTTCACTAAACAAGTTTGTTCACATGTTACAACAGGGACAGGCATGCATGTTGCATGACTGGATGCTTGTTTTCATTTTGGACCAAGCTTTAAATGCGTTCCCATGGTTGATACCATCAGAACTAGCATTCATTTCTACAAAAGGGGCTCTGATACAGAGGGAAATAAAGTGAGATACTGTCACTTTGCTTCTTACCTTTCTGTGCATGTAACGAATCATGAAATCAAGGAGGAAGCTTTTCCCCTTCCTAAACGCCCCGGCCACCGACAGCACCACCACATTTTTTTCCCGCACCTCTGGAGCTAACAAAATTTGAGCCAAAGCCTCCGTGTTCAACGTAAAGGAGTGGTTATCCTTGGACACCTCGACGATCTGAACTGGGCCCGGCTCACTCCCCATTCTGCAGAAGTCCCTGTGAAAGTCAAAGTAACAGAAAAGTTATACCACGTGGGTTCAAAAACCGAGACACTCGCAACACTGCAACCAGGAATTTACTACCTCAACTTATTTATTCTCAATTTCTACAATTTTATAGGTGTTCGTCCATTCTGTTGTCTTTACTCTCTTTACTCTCCTTGCAGTTATTGCTGCCAAATTGTGTTTCTTATCCCTCGGAACCACACCTGGACTAGTTGCCGTTAGTCTCTTTCCTGTCTTCCTGTTTGAACAGGGTGTAGGATTGACAGATGGATCAGTTCAGCTTCTGCAGACTCTGTACCAGTTTGTTATGGTGAAGCAGTAGCTGAGCTGCAAGGCAAAGCTCTCAGTTTACTGGCTGATCTATGTTCCTACCCTCACCTACGATTGCAGACTTTGTGTAGTGACCAAAAGCAACAACATCGCAGACACAAGCGATCAAATTAGTTTTCTCCACAGGGTAGCTGGATTCGGACAGGGTGAGAAGTTGTTGTCCAGGAGTGACGTGGACTAGAGCCACTGCTCCTCCTCATCGAAAGGAGCTAACTGAGGTGGTTTGGGCATCTGGTAAGGATGCCACCTGGATGCCTCCCTAGGTTGGAGATGCTGAAGAGACTATCTCTCTACTGGCCTGGGCATGCCTTGGAATTGTCCCAGAAGAGCTGGAAGAGGCTGTAAAAAGAGATATCTGGGTCTCCTTGCACAAGCTGCTGTCCCCGCCACCTGACAAAGCGGAAGATGATGTATGGGGCAACAATTCTTCAGAAGGCTAACAGTTTATATGAAAAGGTACAGAGAAACGTATCTGCATTGCACAAGGTCCTCTGGCGTCACATAGACATAAAATATGAATGATAATAACACGTTTAATTGGTGGAAAACAGTTTTGCCTGCAGGATCCTTCCATCAGAGACAATGTTTATCTCTGTGTGAGGCTGCTCTTATCGGGTGTCATGCTGCTCTGCCTGCAGCTTATGGATTCAACATGCACTCCAATAACTTGACCATTTTAGCTGCTTGAATGGATCTCATTGTGGATCATTTCTCAGGATTATGTATTTGGTGTCCAGCACGACGAGGACAAGACGATGAGTCATTCCATCAAAAGAGCTCACGCTTTGTTTTCTCTAAAACTCACCACCTCAAGGTGTGGCATCGAGGAGCCGCATGCCTGCATTTCTCTGCTGTGAATGTGCTGAAGTGTTCACGGGACAGCTGATACACATCATTATTATCCCTTTGCACAGAAACACTAAAGCCCGAGAGAAACTCGACTGCGAAAGTCCCAAACAACTCAACAACTGTGAATAGCAGTTTGCGACGGTAAAATTGAACATAATCTTAAAGCGGAGGTCCTAATAACCGAGCTAGCGTACAGGCAGTTGTTTTTAACGGCCCGTGGCAACGTGTGATTAAACTAAAACGCGTTCGTAACTCGTTGTTGTGAACTAGGGAGTGGGAAAAACGAACAAAAATGCAACACGTAATTCTAAACCGCTTCTAAAACTAACTTACCTGCTAGCTTTAGCTGCGGTTTCACGACGTAGTTTTGTTTTTGGGTCCTTTAAAAAGCTACACTAGTCTCATATGTGCCGAGAAACGAGCAACTTTCCACACGGACACGAAAAAAAAAATCACGAGAACTTTTTTCCACAACCAATCGAGGCACTTCCGCCTTCACCTTAAGAAAAGCCTCATGGCAAATGTAGTTTTTAAGCGTTCATTTTCCATTGCCTAAGCTCGTCAGCAAACTACATGCCCCATCGAGCCAATCATCAGATGTGGGAAATGTAGTTTTTAACAGCTATGACGAGGGCGGAACTATCAGATGTGATGTAAAACAGGAGTTTGAAGTTTTGCGTTTATACAAATCACATTTGTAAAAAAAAATAATAATAATAATATCACATGGATGCAATTTGTTTCACTATTTCTTAGCAACTGGGCTGTGTTTGAAGTAAATCAGTGTAGATCCTGTTGCCTGTTTACTGTGGATAGTCCCTCTAACTGTGTTTGTCAACATTTCTGGAAATGCTAAAAAGAAAAGACAGACGAAAACTATGTCAAAAGAAAAGTATTTTAATTCGCAAGAACAGCATCATAGTTTTTAATTTGTCACATTACAAAACCTAAAACTTGGAGGAAAAAAAATACATAAAATTTACAAAGTTAGTGTAACCTGAAAAGTAAGACTGTTAATGGCAGTAAGTTAAATTTACAATCTTAACTTTTTTTTAAATTTAAGACTTAAGAATATTATATCAAAGGTGTCACATACACAGAAAACCAAGAAATTTTGAATTACAAAACACACAATAATACAATAAATATATAAAATCAGCTCTACCTTACATAATCTGAAAAAAAGATATGTAAAATAAATACAGAAATTAAAGAGATTACCAGCAAAAAACAAAAACCAACAACAACTGGAAGTGATGGTATACTACTTTTTGACTAGTGCTGCTATGTCCTACCTACAATTCTAACAACACAATAATTTAAACATCTTCTAATTAGGCAGCACGGTGATGCAGTTAATAGAGGTGCTGCCTCTCAGCGAGCAGGTCACCCCAGTTCAAATCCCGGCCGGGGGTCTTTCTGGGAGTTTGCATGTTATCTCTGTGCATGCGTGGGTTTTCCCCAGGTACCCCAGTTTCCTCCCACAGACCAAAAACATGCATGTTAGGCTGATTGGTAACTAAATTGTCCCGAGGTGCGAGTGAGAGTGAATGGTTGTTTGCCTCTGTGTGTCCCTGTGATGGACTGGAGACCTGTCCAGGGTGTCCCCTGCCTCTCGCACAGTGATGGCTGGACCTGGGCACCTGTGACCCCTGCGACCCGAAAAGCAAAAACTGGGTATAATGGATGGATGGATAATTACACAGATGAATGACTTTAAGAAAAGGCCACATAAACTGTTTCATAAAACAAAACAAAACTGTGGGTTCTATATTTAAATCTAATAACACTTCAGATGTGAGTCTATTTGCTAATAATTTTCCACATTATTTATGCTGGTTTCAAAAGTATATAAATAACTTTCACCTGATTTTGAGATACTTAATCCAGAAACAGAATTTCTACTTGAACTGGAAGCACTCCGTCCGCCCCTGAGTATGAGTTTAATCTGATAGACACCATAAGAATAAAGTGAATTAATACTTTTTCCTCAGTTTTAAATATAATTGTTCTGATATTGTTCTGTGAGGTAAAAGGACCAGTTCAATCTGTGCATTCAAAGAGCATTAATACAAGTGGCGTAATGTGATCCACAGTCCATCTATGGATTTATACTGACATCTAACAACACATTAATACATATTTTATAGGGCAGTGTCAACATCTGAACGAGAAGCATCATGAATCTGTTTGTGTCGGTTTGTTGAACTATTTCTTTAACAATGATTGAAGAACTGTCTTTGCTTTGGGACTTAAATTAGGATATGAGTTAATATCCACCTCCTGCCAGGTCCAGCAGTGACCCGGCAGCCTCCTGAGCCTCGACATCGAGCTGCAGGATCTCCACAGTCTCCAGGTCCAGCTCGGTGTCGCTCGGCAGCACCAGGTACTGATACTGATCGGACTGATAATAGTGTAACTCAATGTACCCACTGTCTGACAGCGGGTCTTTCTCCATGTCTTCACTGACCCCGTCCTGCAGGTATTCAGTCGATTCCATGGTGACCAGTTCCTCGTGGTCTGGCGTCAAAGGGCACAGTGCATTTTCAGAGAAAGCTGGATTATCAGTGGTCAGGATTTCGGGATAGGAAGTGGAGAGGAGCATGGTGTGAGAAAGAGGATCTGCAGAAGGGCAAGAAGCATAAACAGAAAAACAAATAAATTAATAACAAGCACATTAATATTAATATCTGCTTTACAGACGGGGTGATTAAACAAACAAAATACAGAATCTTAAACAAGCATGTGGGAGTGTAGAGTGCAGGTTTGGTTCTAAAACGAAGGGATGTTTGACAGAGTCCAAGCTGGGCTATTGCTGTGTTACCACGGTAACGGAGGTCAGTTGCCATGCCAACAGAACACAAACACAGGAACAATGCTGGAAGAAAAGGCTCGAGCAGAGAAAGCCTGCAGGTGATAAAATTGTCTCAGAGAGCTGCTTTTCACTGACGAGGGAAGAGACTCACGCCGGGTCAAACATCCAGGTTTATGTCCTGTTTAGGAGACATGAGTCCGGTTTGTGGACTAACCTGAAAAGTCCATGGAATCGCACACTGTAGGCGCCTCGTAGCCAGTTCCTTCTAACCTGCATGCAACACAAGACAGACGACTTCTTCAATATACTGTATTGTTTTAATAAATGTTCATGCAGAGTTACTCAGAAACTTCACAGCCATTACAGGTAATTGATGCTTTACAGGTATAACTCAGTACAGTTAACGTATTGATGTATTACCATAAATATTCATCTAGTGTAGACGTTTTAGACCTAGCAAACAACAGTTTTCAGTAAATCCATCCTTTTGGTAATAACTTGTTTTCTAAACAAACAAATGTAGGATTTATTGATTCTAATTGGCAGCTTCACAGTTTACCTTTGTATTTTCCCGTCCTGTTTCTTTATTAGTTTAACATTTGAATTGCTGTCAGCTGCTCACACTTGTGCAGAGAAAAATAATAATAAATCATGATGTTTTATCGTATTGTGGCAAAGTCTGAATGATGTAGACTTTTGCACAGCACTGAACACTTTAATAGTTTACTAAAGCTGAGTGGCTAATACTCGGCATATGGAGTTTATCCTAAAGCATCAGCTATTTTTATACTCTTAAATGACTTTTTTTTCGTGAATACTAACTCCATTATTAACCATGCTCCGAGGACTGGTGTAAAATGCTTTTACTGGGCTTAAAACCACTGTCACCTGCAACTTTGAATAACTTTCCATTTAGGTAAAAGCTTTATTTATAATGGAATGTTTACTGAAATTTTTAATTATTATTATTTTTACTTCATATCCAGCAGTTCTTGCTTTATTTTCCTTATCTGCTTTTAAATTAAATTATCAAACCCAATTTGAGTTTTGCTTGAATTAATTCAGATATTTCATATGTTTGAATCAGTGCGTCTATGGGCTTGGTGTTAAACGTGGGCTCAACTCTAATATATTCCCAGTTTAAATAAACATTTATTAACTCATTCAAACTACAGACAATAAAACTGGCTGATATATTTTGATGCAGCGTTAATATGTTACTTTACTCACAGTGCAGGCTTGTCGATCAGATTACTGTTGGTGCTGTGATAACTATGAGTCTTTCTCAGCACCTCCAGGAGCGCCGGTCGATACTCTGGACACACACACCACAGCGACCCCTTCCCCACTGACTGCAACAAACACACAAATCCACCCGTTACTATGAAATAACACTGACACATCAGAAAAACTGACCTGAAACATGAAAAGCAGATAATAGCTGAGGTCTAACTGCTGTTCTCAATACAAATCATCTGGATTTATTGTGTTAAGGATAACTCATTAGTGCAGATTCTGTGCTATTATTTACACACATTGTGTGAAAACCACAAGTTGTGTGCCCACCTGGCTCTTATCCCTCTGAATGCGGCGGAAGCTCTTGCTCAGGGACAGGTTGTGTCTCACAGAGTTCCTCCAGCCCCCTGTAGCTGTCCTGTAATAGGAGAAATTATTCACAATCCAGTTGTAGATCTCCTTCACTGGAAGCCTTTTGTGTGGAGAATCTTCTATTGCCATGAAAATCAAACTGCTGAAGGAGTATGGAGGTTTGGAGGACGCAGGAGGGTGAAGAACCTGTGCAGGTGTGCAGGGCTCCTGCTGTGGCAGTGAAGTCATTTTGGCAAGAGGCTGCAGAGGAAGAAGGTTGCCTCTCTGGTGCAGCCAGCTGAGACAGGTCAGGTCATTCTGGTCAGGTATACTTTCCTGCCCAACGCTTTGTCCTTCAGTGAGACAATGAGATGCAGCCCAGTGTGAAAGGGGAGAGGACGAGTGAAGAGACTCCGCTGTTGCTGGAGAAAGTGAGATGGGGGACAGGGGGAAGGAGATGGGTGATAGAGGGAGTGAGACATTTGAGGAGGTCTGCTGAGGTGAGGAGGAGAATGGCAGGGACCCTCCGAGAGTAGTGGGTTGTGAGAAGGGTGGCAGTGATTGACAGCTGTTCTCCATCTCTGTCAGGAGGAAAACGTCGAGCTCATCCAGGTGTGTCGCTCCTTAAAGATATAAAATGGAAAGAATCACAGTTGGAGAAAATTCTTTATGTATTTTTGTTTTATTGCTAATTTATTTGAAACAGTGGTATATTATCTACATAAAAACAAGCGGGTCAAACAAATATTCTTTACCGTTTCCCCACCGTTGAGGGTAAAAGCACATGCGACCTTACAAAACACAAAAATGTAGTTTTTAAAGATAAGGAGCTAAAAATTTGTTGAAGCAGCTGAAAAATTAGCTCCAACTTATCACACGAGATTTGTGTTTAAAACGTTGCCTTTTTTAAATTGGACTCATTCAACTCTGTTAGCAAAATATTTCACGAGCCACTGGATGTAGTACTCAACACATTGATGTTCTCATAAAATAACATGACATCATCAGGAAGAAACTCTTTTAAGGAGTTTGCTAAAATGCATTAGCAGTTGTGGATTAACACAGAATAAATTTAAAATTTAACAAGTTTAACATCTAACATTTAGCCAAAGGAAAAATAATCCTGTTTGCCAGTCGTTCCACTCTGATGAGCATCTTTTCTGTTCAAAGTCCAACTCTCATTTCTCCATCTCCTGGCTTGAATGTATTCAGTGCACAGGTGTTAGTCCATTTTGTAAAAGATAAAAACTTTAATCAAAAGTGATTGTGAGACCAAATGCAGGCTTTTGATAAACCACGGCTAAAGTAAAAACCACATTTTTAATGTCCCTAAAGTTTGAACGAGTTGTCACATGGCTCTACAAAACAATACAGCAGGAAAATGGCGGAACAATATAAAGTTTCATAAGCCACCTTTCTTCCCTCCTCACAGGTAACCAGCTAACAGCAGACGGCTTTAGCTTTTAGCTTAATTAACTTGCTACTCACCGGTTTCCCAAAAAGGTAACTCCAGAGGAAACTAGCTTAACTTAAATGTCCGGAACGGCTCGTCGAAGAAGGAAAGGTGCAATCCTTGCGTTCAAAAAGTAAAGTCTCAGTCGGACAGTTCTCCCTCCGCGCTCGTTACGGTCCACGGTTTCCATGGAAACCAAAAGGACGCTTCGGAAGGGTGCGCGCTCCCGGGCTCGCTCCCGACAGACAAACGTCTCGATCACAGAGCTATGGTAGCTGAGTGAAGCTGACACCCCACCCACTTCCAAAATTAAAGCAAATAGTCTGAATGGTTAGTGCTCCGTTAGTGCTGGTTTGTGCCGTTAAAATTTTCGTTAGTGCTGCTTTGCTTTCTGAGATATTAAAGATTAATTTTTAGGTCATCCAAAGGTCACCATCCCCCCATGTTGCTCCAAAACAGACGGGAGTGGTCTATTTTTTTAGTGCTTCGTTAGTGCTCGTTTGTTCCGGTGAAAGTAGCGTTTGTGCAGCTTTAGTTTATGAGATATTAAGCATTATAATTTTGCCCGATGACGTCACCATCCCCCCATGTTGCTCCAAAACAGACGGGAGTGGTCTACTTTTTTAGTGCTTCGTTAGTGCTCGTTTGTTCCGGTGAAACTAGCGGAAACTTTATTTTTACAAGGTAAGTAAACTACTAATGTTGAGGTTTTAGATAAAACACTGAATAACTGTTGGGACTGCAATCCAGCCCCCGATTAGCAGAGAAGGACGCATGGTTGTGTCCCTTACATATATATTTCTGTATATCCACAATTTCATTACGTTTTAAGTCCAGAGTTTTTAAACAGATTTAAACAAAGATTCTTCAAGGCTTAATCTTGCAGCTTTTACATTCATATTCAGTCATGGATGTTAAGGAACATCAATAGCCCAGACAGGACAATTTTTAGAACAGATACTTCAATTGAAATTAATTGAAATTTCACATCAGTGATTTAAAAAAAAAATGCAATGTTGAACAGAAAAAAAATGTGTAATCACAATTCAGCATAAATGTCACACAGATGTAAGAGAGAATACTAATTTAAACATAAATTGAGTTGTGAAAGAATGCTGGAATAAAGCTTGTGCAATTATACAGGCCAGAATACTTTTGTTAATGCTAACCAAAGCCTTTTTATTCTTTAACTAGATGCCTCGACAGCCAGCAATACACAGGGATTCCCTTTTTTGCATTTCTCTGCAAATCAAAACAGGCTATCTTTCAAAATAGCAAAATAGCCACTCCATCTTCCACTATTTGGACAGAATTAAGTCAGCAGCTGGAAAACAAGATGTCTCCAAAAGCTCTGTACACTTTTGTAAAAACAAACAGACACAACATCTGGTCATGTTTAGAGATCAATGAGCAGGGAAGTGATTCTGACAGCAGTGTGGACACAGAGTGTGACTCAGGCTCTATTTCTCCTGGACAAGACGACTGCTCAGTGTTTCAGCTTGAAGTTCCTTTTGAGGAATGGATCAAATTTGTACCTGAAAAAGTGGCATATAATGACAAGTTTTCATCTTCTGGTAAAAGGGAATATATGATTTTGAAGGCTCGTACTTGGACTCATGTCATTAATCATCTGATCTGGAAAAAGATCAAAAGCACATGCACATTTGTATTCCAGAGAGCAAAGGTTTATCCAACTGTCACAAGCAACTACATGGATATCAAAGGCTTCTGTAAAGAGTGTCAAGGCCATGTTAAATTGACATGTGACAGAGAGCCAACAGTCAACAGCCCAATGGTGCTCCAGTGTTCCATCGAGGACACCAATATCTCCCTGCACACTAGGCAGTCCAAGAGGTTCATGTCTGGAAACCTTCGTGCACAGATTTCAAAAGACCTGTGTGAGGGCAGGATGGAGCCAGCCGTATGGAGGTCAGCGAAGGCATCCGATTTGATGGATATTGGAGATCCTGAGCCAAGTCACCTGCCAAATTTGGCCACCCTACGAAAAGCTAAGCAGGAGAGAAGAGATCAGGAATTAGGTGACAAAGATCCCATTTTGTCTTTGCAGTTATTAAAACATAGCACACCTCACAGTGGTAGTATAAGAGACATTGGTCTGGACAAGTTCTTCTGCCACTATTGGAGTCCAACACAGCTACATGTATATAACACATTGTCCAAAAAATGTCCCTCTGTAGTTTGCTTTGATGCAACAGGCTCAGTTGTGAGAAGACTGGTGAGACCAAATGGAACATCTGGCCACATCTTCTTATATCAAGGTGTTCTGACAGGGGACAACTGCTCGGTCCCAGTTGTGCAAATGCTGTCAGAGAGACACGACATAAATGCAATTGCAACATGGCTTACAGAATGGCTTCGTACAGGTGCTGCTGTACCAAAGGAAGCCGTGAGTGACTTCTCCCTGGCTATTCTCGGTGCTCTGGTGAGGGCCTTCACTCCTTACCCTGATCTGAAGGCATACATTAACGAATGTTTCCGTCTGCTACTTGGAAACAAGTCAGCAAACTGTCCTCCATGTTTTATCAGAGTTGATGTGGCACACTGCATAAAGATGATCTGCCAGTGGGACTGCCTGAAAAACAAGTCACACCGTGTCAAAGACTTCTTTGTCAGAGCAATAGCCAAGCTTCTACAATCACAGTGTTTGGACCATGCAAAACAGCTGATACATGCGATCACTGTTGTGGCCCTCAGTGAGGCAGAGGGTGATGATAGCTCTGGAGTTCCTCTGGAATCAGAGAGGTGCAAAAAATATCTAAAAACACAGATAACAGAAGACTCCATCATTCCAGCCGAAGACACGAAGGAAGTGCATCAAATGGAACCTTTAGACGAGATCCAGACTGACCTTCGAGACTGGGTATCAAACATATGCGAGAAGAGCAGGTCACTCGCTGCAGCCAATGGGGACGGGGATAACATCCATTTCCTCCCTGAGATTGTTCCACACATTATAAGACTTGCAAGTTACTTGCCACTTTGGACAGGAGTAATGGTCCCCCTCTTCAGAAGCACTAGCCTCACTGCAAGCTCAGCCACTGTGGAAGCAGAATTCAAAAATGTAAAACATGGCCTTTTTAAACATGAGAACTTGCCCATTAGACTTGATCGATTTATTTCTCGTCATCTTTCCTTCATCGAAGGAAAAATGAGGATTTGTTCTGGAAAAGTAAAACATGAAATAGCTGGATTAACAAAAGTTTCAGAAACAAACTCTGCTTCCATGAGCACCCACAGTGCTGAAGCCAAGAGAAGAATAGATTCTCACCATTCTCCAGAACTTGATGAAACAAACACTCCGCCAACAGATGAAGATGTGGTAGAAAACTGGAGGGGACTAATTCTTCCACCCAAAAAAAGGAAGAGGACTTCATATCTTGCTTCCTGCACTGAATGGCTCCATGCAGATCCATCTGTTTGGGGAAAAAAAGAGTGAAAGTGGGACTATTAAAAAATGGAAACCTGCATCAACCTATTAAAGTTGGAAAATTAACAATATCTGTCCAGAACACATGTGCATTTGATGCTTTCTGTCAGTGCTTATGCTGTGCTTTCTGTGACAGCTCAGCATTTCAAAATGTTGTCAGGAATGACAGTGACAACCCCATCTTGCAGCTTGTGAAAGCCATTACTGCAGATAGTGTGACCCCAAAGATATACTCACAGAGGGCAGAGCTGCTTAGTGCAATGTTTCAAAAAAATCGAGTTGAAGTCTGGAGCCCACCAAATCGATGCCCAGTGCAATATCTCCACTGTCATTGGTAAAACAATGAGAAATGTATCAAACATTTACCTGTCTAAACACTGCTCTTCTCAGTACTGCCAGCTAAACAAAGGAACAACTAGGGAAGTACCATTCGTTTCTCCTGACATTTCTGTCCTGATGAAGTCTGGCTTGGCTCAGCTTGGTACTTCAGTCGAAAATGGACTCTTACTTCCAGAGTCTACCTGCCTTCGCCAACTACAGAAAGAATCAGAATGTCCAGTTGCATTCAAAACAGGAGACAGCACGTCAGGGAAAATACTCTGTGCAGGAACTCTAACTCACAGCTACCAAAATGGAGAAATAGCATGGATTGTCACTGACCTCTTACAAACTACTCAGTTTACTTTGAGTGAATTTCCCTCCGTTGTGGCTCTCCAAGGAAAGACATTCACTTTGAGAGGAGTCATCGTTTTCAAGGGAAGCTTGACCAAAGATGTTATGGGACATTACACTGCATACTGCCGTAGAGCTCCATGTGTGTGGGAGCTTTATGATGACCTGGCAAAAGCAGTGAAGACGGTGTCAGAGAAGGAAAAAATTCAACCACATGCAGCATTATACACAGCAGACTGAATGCTGTGAATGAACACATTCCACTTGGAAGTTTTCAGAAGCCCAGGTCAAAAGCAAATAGTTTGTTATTGTTTGATATTATAATTTATTTACAGTCAGACCATAAACAGGTTGTGTTTTATGTTTTTTGTGACCAATTATTACATGGCAAAGTATGTTTAAGTGTACCAATGGTGGTTTATTGAAATGTTTTAGTTTGTAATTCTTTTCCTATTACATCTCTCAAAAATATTTTTTTTTCAAAGAGTTTGTATACCTGTTATATACAAAAGATATTAATTTACAATTATCAACAAGTCCCTTTTTCGTTTTGTTGTGACCATGTCTCAGTGTGAAAAAAAGATGTTCAATCTTTAAACATCAGAATGTTCAATTGTTAAAAAAAAAATCATTTTCCAAAAGAAAAGTGTTTGTTATTCTTTGAAAGTATAATGTATATTACATTTTCAAACATTACATTGGATATATGTGATCTTAGAAGTCATGGTTCATTACTTTTTTCAATTAATTATAATCGAAAACCTTTACTGCTCCACAATAAGGAAATTTTGGTGTCTGCAACAAACCATAAAGAAATGAAAGTATACAGGTTCATGTCATTAAAAAGGTAGAAGATGTTCCAGGCTAAAAGTTATAACGAACAAAATGCAAAAACAAAAAGGCTGAATATGAGTTACAGTGAAGGACTGGAGAAATACAATACTGAGCGGGTAACAGAACGTTATTAATGTGCCCACCTAATGTGGATTTACCTTATTGTAAAACCCAAGTATGAAATGTTAAAGATTCCAATAAGGACACAGGTAAGTTTTGCTTGAAATGAGACAAGATTCAGAAAATTCTACATAATTTATTAAGCTTCAATAACGTCTTTAATTGCTGATAACCTGAATTTCATTAGTGAATACATTTAACGAAAATTTTTAGAAAAATAGCTACATTTCAAATGAAAATGAGACTTACCAATGGGGTAAGTACTGTAGTGAGGGAAGGGACAACATCCAGCGCAGAGAAGAAAGGGATCACCCTGGACTCTTCAACAACAAAACAAAAAATAAAAAAAGGTAAAAAGAAAATGGTGCTTGCACAAAACACACAAGCCCGGACAGTACCACGAGGTGTCACCACTGCCACCACAGAAGCATTAGTCTCTAAAAGAAATGAAAGAAACAATATGCGTAAACAATGGTGCAATGGCACTACAATGTTACACTTTATCCCCTTAGTATCTTCCCTGAAAGAGATGACGTCTAGATGGGAACATATGTTGTTCTAGAACCTGAACATAGTTCTCTGCATTAATGGTGCCTTTCCAGACATGCAAGCTGCCCATGCCACAAGCGCTCATGCAACCCCATACCATCAGTGATGCAGGCTTCTGAACGGAGCGTTGATAACAACTTGGGCTATCCTTGTCCTCTCTGGTCCGGATGACATGGCGTCCCAGTGTTCCATAAAGAACTTCAAATCGTGACTCATCTGACCACAGAACAGTCTTCCATTTTGCCACACTCCATTTTAAATGACCCCTGGCCCAGTGCAAACGTCTGAGCTTGTGGAGCTTGCTTAGAAATGGCTTCCTCTTTGCACTGTAGAGTTTCAGCTGGCAACGGCGGATGGCACGGTGGATTGTGTTCACTGACAATGCTTTCTGGAAGTATTCCTGAGCCCATTCTGTTATTTCCTTGACAGTGGCATTCCTGTTTGAGGTGCAGTGACGTTTAAGGGCCTGGAGATCACGAGCATCCAGTAGAGTTTTACGGCCTTGACCCTTACGCACAGCGATTGTTCCAGATTCTCTGAATCTTTTGATGATGTTATGCACGGTTGATGATGATAACTTAAAAGTCTTTGCTATTTTACACTGGGTAACACCATTCTGGTATTGCTGCACTATCTTTCTGTGCAACAATGGTGGAATTGGTGATCCTCTTACCATCTTGGCTTCTGAGAGACACTGACACTCTGGGAAGCTCTTTTTATACCCAATCATGTCGTCAATTGACCTAATTAGTGCTAATTAGTCTTCCAGCTGTTCGTTATATGCTCAATTTACGTTTTCCTGCCACTTAGTGCTACTTGTCCCAACTGTTGTGGGATTTGTTGACACTGAAATTTTGAATCAACACATTTTTCCTTTAAAATGTTACATTTACTCAGATTAAACTTTTGATCTGTCATCGATGTGCTATTCCAAATAAAATATTGACATTTGTTATCTCCACATCATCGCATTCAGTTTTAATTCACAATTTGTTTAGTGTCCCAACTTTTTTGGAATCCGGTTTGTAAAAATAAAACAAATTATTAATACAACTGCTGACGAGAAATACAATTTACAGCAACTGCTTACCTGAGACATGGTCAGTTACCCCACTGACAAGCAAACGGATCCCAAATTCCACCTATGCAGTACAGCTGTAACAAAAACCTATTTGAAGGCTTTGTTTACATGGGGCGAACCTGGCCACAATAGCCCTTCACTTCCTGTCAGTAAACAAACAAACGGACAGATCGGTCTATACGTTGGAGATGCAGCAGAGGAGGCTGAACAAATAGACCAGTTAACATTAATATCTGGTATTAAAGCCGACAAACATTGAAACAGCCACGCTTACCCAGCACGGTGAAAAGAAAGCAAATGGAGTTGATGTCACGACGCAAGAAGCCTCACAACAGGTGAGGGCTTGCTTATATGCAGCAGCCAAAATTGGCCTTAAAGTGGCAACGTCATCGGGCGAAATTATAATTCTTAATATCTCATAAACTAAAGCTGCACAAACGCTAGTTTCACCGGAACAAACGAGCACTAACGAAGCACTAAAAAAGTAGACCACTCCCGTCTGTTTTGGAGCAACATGGGGGGATGGTGACGTCATCGGGCGAAATTATAATTCTTAATATCTCATAAACTAAAGCTGCACAAACGCTAGTTTCACCGGAACAAACGAGCACTAACGAAGCACTAAAAAAGTAGATCACTCCCGTCTGTTTTGGAGCAACATGGGGGGATGGTGACGTCATCGGGGCGAAATTATAATGCTTAATATCTCATAAACTAAAGCTGCACAAACGCTAGTTTCACCGGAACAAACGAGCACTAACGAAGCACTAAAAAAGTAGACCACTCCCGTCTGTTTTGGAGCAACATGGGGGGATGGTGACGTCATCGGGGCGAAATTATAATGCTTAATATCTCATAAACTAAAGCTGCACAAACGCTAGTTTCACCGGAACAAACGAGCACTAACGAAGCACTAAAAAAATAGACCACTCCCGTCTGTTTTGGAGCAACATGGGGGGATGGTGACCTTTGGATGACCTAAAAATTAATCTTTAATATCTCATAAAGCAAAGCAGCACTAACGAAAATTTTAACGGCACAAACCAGCACTAACGGAGCACTAACCATTCAGACTATTTGCTTTAATTTTGGAAGTGGGTGGGGTGTCGAAGCTTCTACTGTGTGTGTATTCATGTATGATCAAACAAAGTAGAAAATCATCAGTTTCTGTGAAAACGTGACGCTAATTAGCTGAAAAAAACTTTTGAACTGAAAACTAAAACTGGCAGAATATTAGCAACAAACAACAGAACTATAGCTAAAAGATGCAGCTTGAACTGAATGTAGCAAAAAATAAAACGCTACACGTTTAAACAAGAATAAAACACCAGAAAAGCCAAAAGATGCCGAATGCTAGCTAAAAAGGTTCAGAACGCCAATAAAAACAAAACTAGCTAAAAGCTACAGAATGTTAGCTCAAACATCCATAACGCTTCCCAAGAGGTGCAAAACATTACTTAAAAAATGAAAGTAGCCAAAAACTGAACACTAACTAAAAGCTAAATGGAAGAAAATATTTAGGAAAGTCAAAAGAAGCAGAACACTAGCTAAAAAACAAAACCAGAAAAACTAGTAAACCAGCAGCTATAAAGTAGCCAAAGTAGCAAAAGGCTAGCTATAAGCTAAAAGCAGAAAAGTAGCTGAAAACTAAAAGTACCAAGACATAATTGGAGCAAGATGCTGAAGCTGATTTCAAAGAAAATGTTTTCAAAGAAACTGAAGAATACATTTCTATTACCCAAATGAGCTGAACGTTTTGATACATGAATAGCTAAAACAGCACAAAGTAAAGTTGAATGCAAAAATGTTTATAATAAAAGTATTATCATTTAAACAATAATTACTTTATTACCTAAATATATTTAAACTTAAACATATTTAAAAGTTTGATGGCACTTTAAGCAAAAGAAAAAAGTTAACATTCTTGTTTTGACATTTTAAGCTGAATTGAGCTAATATGTAACAACAGGTGGAGAGAGAGGCACTTCAAGATTTGCAGCATTTGAATTTTAAATACTGTGATAGACCGGCGATATGTCCAGGGTCTGTCAGCTTTCGCTAATGACTGCTGGAGGTAGAGGCACCAGCTTTCTGCACCTCTGAATAGAAGCAACAGGAAAATTGACAGAGGGATGGATTTTAAATACACCTATAGTAATATATGTCATGCACACACACACAAGTAAAAAAAATAAATGTATTGGGTTTGACTTACAAGTTTGAGTTAATGTATGTGTAACTTGATAAATCATAACATACATCTTTAAAATTTATTGTCACTAAAGGCAACTATACAGAAACAGTACACATAGGAAAAAGTGAAAACACGTTTTTTTTCCTACAAAAGTTCAAACATTGTCATGCTTTGTCAAACATCCTGTAGATAAATAAAATTCAGATCGAAAACAGACAGGGAGAAGACCCAGCAACACTTTCATTCCACAAAAACAAAACTAGAAACTTGAGTGTAATTTAATGTGGATTTCTGTCCTTGTGGGGTGTACTTTGTGGGTTAATACTTCAAAACACATCCAATAATTGAAGACTGTTTTACACAGAACCAGTTCTGAATATGCAAAACTGTCAATAAAAGCCATTTTTTAGGTGTTTAAGCTTAGACAGCAATAAAGCATTGATTAGTTATAATTTAGTCACAACAAACAAAATAATGTTTAGTTTCACACCTTTTGGTTATAATAATAAAACTTTTTCATGAAAACACGTGCTGCAGCTCAACACTTCCCACTAACGTTATGAGAAAACTGAGAGAAGAGGGCGAGTGTACAAACTCTCAGAAAACACCACATTTTTTGGGTCCAGTCCTTTTTGGACTTTAGATTGTTGAATGCCTCAGTCACCTGACCAAGTGAGACGTTAACCAGTAAATAATGATGGGCTGAAAGACTGCAGTTGCCACGGTGATATAAAGGCGGAGTTGGGGTTTGGCACTTGATCCCATTCCCATCGAGTCCGGGGAGAGAGAGGGGAGAATCTTCATTTTCAGAGATCGAACCTGTGAAGGGAGCAGCAGCTTTAATCTGACAATCGTCCAGACAAAATAAGTAACAAGAAGCAAAACTGAGAAACTCGAAGCCTGAAAGGTGGAGGGGTCAACTGTTGACCCGGTTTTCTGTAGATAAACTGTTACAGAGTGCAGTTTTTGCTTTCAGCAAGCCTTTTTTTTGTTTTTCAGTAGACAGGATTAGGGCATGCACCATCATGAGAGACAGCAGTGGCAGGGCAAACATGCGGCCATTGAGCAACATAAAGGTAGTATCTCACTGAGCTGCGACTGCTGGAGATCAGTTGACAACTCAACTTTGTGAGAAAATCACAAAAAATAGACTATTTTTTTCCGTTGCAGTCTCATTGATTTCAGTGTTTGTGACCAAGAGACCAGGCAGTCACACGGCTGTGTTTTGAGCGGCTAATCTTTGAAAATCACAGCCTAGTTTTATGTTCGTGGCTTGCACACCTGTTCCAGATTGTGTAAATAATTCATGATTTTGTTGCCCACCACCTCTCACTCTGCCCAATATATACCCACCTTGGCAGTGCCCACTCAGTTATGATTTATTGTACCGAAGTACACTTTTGAAATAAAAATCAGCAGATTTGGACAAGATTTTAAATAATTATTATTTATCATCAATGTGTTTATTTTAATGTGGATATTAGCCTCAGATGATTTTTTTTGGTTTCAAAATACATCTCCAGCACTCTTGAGACCAACTGAGATGTCCCAAGTTTGAGATGCCTGCAATAAATCTGTGACTTTGTTGGAAGAAATTTTGTGGCACCAATGTTTTAAACAGCTTTTATATTTAGGCGACACGAATGCAAGCTTCTCCGAAACAGTGAACCTCCCTCAAACATTTCAAGGCTTCTGGAGACTCTTTCACAAAAAACATTCACCAACTAGTGTCCAACATTGAGACACATTACAACATTATAATAGTGTACACAATCCTGAGTAAGTCTTATCAATAATTGTAGTAAATGGTGTGAATAAAAGACATAAAATACTTACAATAAAGAACATAACGGCGCAGGAGGACCAGGCGAGGGCCACAAAATAACCATCACTGCCAAACAGCAAGCCGCACAACACCGTGAAGATCATTCTAAATGAAAATAAAAATGTACACAATCATTCTATAAATCTTAACCAAACCACATTTTTAAATAAAGCTGGCATTCCTTGAAGAAATGCATATCACCCGCCCATCGCATTGCATGCCAAAGTTAAAAGCTATCATTTTAATGTTGCTCGGAGTATGTGTTAAGACGCCTCTCTGCTACTATTTATACAAACTTTTTCATCATGCCTGTATCAATTATTAAATAAAAAGAGGTCCGACAAAAGAGCTGAAAATAAAATATAACAGTTGAAGTCTTGAAAATATTAATAAATTAACATTTTAAGCACTTACAGTAGTTATAATAATTGGTAGATCACATTTATAAGTCTTTGAGTGATAATTGATTCATTAACTGAAAAGATAAACATAAAAAATATCAGTTTACCCAACATATTTGTATCCGCTGTAAGCGATAAGATCAAACGTAGAGAGGTCGGTGTGTACCGTCAGCAGATACAAACTCAGCAACAGGACCAGGACCTCGATGATGATCCACACGATGGCAGTGCTGGCACACAGTCCAAGGACCTCTGGGCTGAATCTGCACACAAAGATCAACACACTCTTAAATAAGCTTTTCTGATACACTATTGTGAATCATAAAAAGTAATAAATGAGGAATAATTGCCCACCTTTTTTGAATGCCAAGAGCCATTCCAGCAAGTAAAATGTAGGTAATGAATGCCATGGCTAAAATAAGAAGAAAAATATATTATTATGCATCCAACAAGAGTCCAAAATCACACTGCTAGTAAAAAAAAAAGTGTTTCCCCAACGTGCAACCTACTTGGTATGTAAAGATCAGGTGCATTCACATCCTGTCTGGGAGTCAGTGGAGTGTCTCGATGGTAACGGACCTCCCAGTCCTACACAGATCACACAGGAAATTTTCAAAATTGTAGAAGATAAGTTTGCAAGGAGAAATTTAACCTGTGTGCTACAGCATCAATACATTCAACTCAGTAAATATAATAAAAATTGACTTTAAAATCAACTGTTAATATACTTTTATAGTAAAAAACAAACAACAAAAGACCACGAGTGCATTTTTTTTGCATCATTATTAACGCTACTATAATCAGGTCTTTTTTTTCTTCTTCTTTCGGCTGCTCCTTTCTTCAGGGGTCGCCACAGTGAACTAAGTCGCACAAAGACTTGGCAATTGTTTTTACAACAGATGCCATTCCTGACACAACCACAGACCACCGAGCTACCACAGCCCTCTGTGTGGAGCAGAGAGCTGCTATCCAGGGCACCTGGGGGAGCAGATGGTGGGGGTTAAGGGCCTTGCTCAAGGACCCAGAGTGGGGCAAATGAGGGTGGAGGCAGGTGTGAGTGTTTCACATTTCCCACCCACATTTTGATATTGTCGGTAAAGGGAGTTGAACCGACAACCTTCCGATCACAGGCCCACCTTCTCTAACCTCTGCGCCACCACTCTCAGACCAATAATGTATTTTTTAGACTATTATCAAAGCTAATATAAACAGGTCTAGTCATGGAAAAATAGGCAATCCTTTTGTAAAGGTGTCAGTAATGTTTTTATATTAATTTATAAGAAGAGGGGGTTTATTGCACAAAAATAGGTTATATTTTATAAAACAGACCATTTTGTTTCAGTTCACAGTAGACTGGATATGACTTTGTAGACAATTTAACAATCAACGAAAGACCAGACTCAGTCTTAACTAAATGAAATAGTCATGTTTGTAATAACTTTGTACAAGTCACAGTAACTACTGTATGATACTCATCTTGTAAACAGAATTTATGAAACAACTGAGCTCAGATGGTTGTTTTAAATATTGTACATGCTGGCAATCACAGCCGAGGACTGTTCAGAAACAAAACCGGAGAGCTGATAGAAAGGCTGATTATCTCGTGTGCAGTTTCAATGTAATAAATGTTCAAATATGAGATAACAGATAAATTCACACAGTAATTAGGTCCTAAATGTTTTGTGTCGTCACATACTGACTGGGAACAAAGTCTGATGGACTCAGATTACCTGATGTGTATACGGGAACATGAGGATCATGAGTTTCTTCAGTACATATCTAGTGTCGACTGCAAAGAAGTATTTCAGCTTGTTCACAGACATGAATCTGTTAATCTGAAAAATAAAGCGTAAACATCAGGTTTACCAGATGGGAAGGGAGAGTTTGACAAAATAACACATACAGTTGACCGATTATGCTGCTTTTCAAAATAATCAATCCAGTAAAACTTTATTTTTTTCACTAGTCAATGGCAGAGAGATGTCTTTTTCTAATGTTCCGGTTTTCTTTTCCAAGTAAAAATTCATATAAAAAAAGGAAACATTTTTACTTTAATTAAATACCTTTCATATGAAATTGACATAAATCAAAGGCATTTTAAAGTCTGCTGTCAGAAGTTATGCAGGAAGCAGACCACTATAGTGCTCTATTTTATATTAAGAGGAGAAGAATGTGCAGCGCTGTTACTCCTCACCTCTTTGTTTACCATATCTTTCCCTTGGTTGGCTAAAGATGAGCCGTACATCATGGCAGCACTAGCCATTGGATCAGTGAACAGGTTGTTTACCCCTACACCTCCTTGCATGTCATTTGAGGGTCCACCCATGTTATAACCAGGTGTGTAAAAGTCCTGGTTGTTCACTCCAGTTGCTGCTGAGCTGGTGTCTTCAAACAAGACCGGGTCTCCTGCGGGGGGAGCTCCACGAGCTCTCTGTTTAGCTGTGAATAAAAAGGACACAACACTTTATGTATTGTGTCTTGTTAGCTATTTATCACAAGTGTTAATGCTTGTCTAACAATAAAAGTTTTTACAAAAACAAGAGAAATGCTCACTTAAAACAAGGTATCATCATAAGCTCTAAACAAAACATATTTAAGTTATTTCTGTAGAAAATTCAATTTCACTATTTACTACAGTTACTTAGAATTTCAGCCCAATTTAGTTTTAAAAAGTATTGCATCCAAAATAGCCTAAAACATTCCAAATGCTGTATGAACTGCAAATTAAAACCCGCTGCAGTGATTTATAATCATTTAAAACACTACATGCATTTGTAAAGATTTCAAACAAATTTAAAAATATTTACTTTAAAATTTTGTATTTAAAAACTTATTTTATTGTTTTGGACTTTTTAAGCATTTCTTTTTAAGTGAGACATCTGTGGGGATCATAGAGATTGGACTAACATGTTTTAGCCCACGTGTAATAGATAATCTGCACACTTTCAAAGGCACCATTAACGTTCAATATTGGTAAACATTCCTAAACAACAAAACAAAGAAGGCCTAATTACCTGGCTTTTATATACAAAAGGTAATCTGTTTATTTCTTCATTTAGTCCCGCATCAACTGACTGCAGTGGATTCAGGCTTTTATTACAACACAACACCTGGGTGCACACACTAATTTTTGATAAGGTTGATGCTCTCTGGGCTGCAAAAGTGGGCACAGTTTATATTTTCTTTAGACAAATGCACTTCTACAGACTGTAATATTCAGCCTTATCCCAAAATCTTTGGGACAAAATATTCACAGTAACCGGATTTAACTGCAGTTGTATCCCTTAAGCCCTTAAACCATAAGCATGCTGATAGTGGGTGTACTTGAATTTGGATTTCTATTTGAAATAAGACAATAAAAGCAATGTGAACCTGCTGGAGGCGATTTAAATTATACAATATTGCATCGTTTATGGGTAAATTTACGCAAGAACCTGACCAACTTTGTCATGTCATCACATAAAAAAGGAAGTAGGCTATGAGTTTACGTTCTGCACATTTTTGCAAATAGAACAAATCCCTGGTGATTCAGTTTTCCACTTACTTGCTCGGTACCCATGATGTGGCAAGTCCATTGTAGCTGGAAAAAATAAAAAAACGTGTTAGCTTCAACGTCTAACTTTGTGAGTTTTAGGGGGAGCCTTTGCATCAGTCTAATCACACCCCTGTACATTTTAAGACGGTTTGTAGCGTAAAGCTACGAACTTGTTGTTCAACGTTGTTGTTAATGCTAACCAACAAATAAGCTAAGTTATCAACAATATATTTTAGCTTCTTGTCGGAGAACCTGTCCAAGTGACAGGGCGAAACATTATCGGCAGCGTTATAAATATCTTCATTGTTTCTCTCGAGAATAAATTATGTTTAATGAAGAAAATACAGGTGACAGATACGAGCACTTACCTACACGGCTAACGTTAGAAGCTAGCTACGTGGCTAACTCCTTGGGGTTGCCAAATAATAAATTACGAACTGTCGTACTGTCGCTTAAAAACTATGACCAAAATGATCGTATAAATACGAAAACTGCAATAAATTTGGCAACACAGCTCGGGTTGATCCCACCCATCCACGGCTGTTGGTTCTCTTCTGTGTGCCTGCGTGGCAGATAAACAGTGTGGTAAGTCAAAATACTTCACAGCAGGCCCTTTCAGCACTATTTTGTGAGTTTGCAGTGAAAAGTCACTTTCCTATACCAGGTCTTTGCACTAGTTTGTGCATTTAGTTATACTAGTTGGACATTTTGGTTAAATCGTTGAACAGACTTACAAATACATTTTTTTAGGTTAGTGTTATTTTTGTCTAACTATACTTTAGAAGCCATATTTAGCTAAAGTGACAAATTAGTCGACCAAAAGACATATTTTTATTGCACTAGTGCACTTCAGGACCAAACTAGTAGTAAACTGCTGTGTCAGATTAGGTATGCACTCCATATTAAAACTCAGCTTTGCTTATTCAGCTTACTCAGACTACAAATACTAGTTACCAGTAATTAGTGCAGTAACAGTAAAGTCCCAAATACTTACCATTTGAATACCCAATTTGCCTACTATTTAACTAATACTGCTAAAAGGTTAACTAGTTGGCATGAATTATTTACTAGTTGACTACTGGCTAACTTTTATGGTCCAAGAAATCCATCACTAAGACAAACTTTACTCACTGTTTCCAGCATTTTCAACGTTTGTCTTATTATTACCTATTTGACCCTGTTAATTAACTAGTGCAGCTAAAATGTTTACTATATAATAAGTTAATTAATGCTTGACTATACTAGTTAATTAGTGCAGCTAGAATAATGTACTAGTTAACTAGTAAGTAGTAACTAGTAAAGTAGATTTAGTCATTAGTGGCTCCATCATGCTCACTACTTGGCACGATAAAGCCTTTTTTGACCTTACCATTTTTATTTTCTCTCCATTGACTTCCACTTAATTTTAGAATTGATTTTAAACTTTTATTATTCAGTTTTAGCGCTCTGGTCTCACCTCATCTGATTTAGCTCTTAACTTTTTTGTGAGTATAAGGGAACCTGAAGATCAAATAATACTTCTTTACTGTTTGTCCCAAAGTCCAAATAAAATGTTGGTGTAACGGAGCTTTTTTTGGTCGCTGCATCCAGACTGTGGATCCAACTCTATCACTGATCTGGGTCTTTTTAAATCTAATATTAAAACTTTTTTTTTTTCAGGTAGGTTTTTAATACCTGTGGCATTCTGACATTTTGTTTTATTATTTTAGTATTATTTGTTTATACTTTTTGTATTGTAAAGCACCATGTGCACCTTTTGTCTCTATAAATAAATAATTATTGATTGATTGCTTACTAGTTGACATATCTTACAGGTTAACCAAAATTATTTTCTAATAAACTACTTGCTAACTTGTAGGGTCCACAATACATACCATAGAATAGTGGGACATATTTTGACTCTACTTGTTAACTAATTTGATCCAACATGCTCAGTCCATTTTGACCATTATGCATCTGAAAGTGGTGTACTTCTTAACTAGTAAATCCTGAAAAGTTACTAACCAGTAAGGACCAATATATTTACTTGAATACTACTCAGATGAATGTGAAATTTACTAGTTTAATAACAGAGTCCATTATGCTCACAAAATGACTAGTTGGATCCTATTTGATTTTACTAATTAACTGGTCATTCTAAAAATGTTAACTAATTTATTAGTGTGTCTAAATTTTTTGCTAACTAGAAATGTCCAAAATATTTACCGAAATGCTAAATCATACCAGTATGAACATTACAAGTTAATGGGGTTCAAGATGCTCAGGTAATGGCTAATTAAACCCCTGATCTTACTAGTTAACAGTAAAATGTTTTACTGCACTAGGTTATTGGTGCACCTTACATATTTACTACCTAAAAAATTACTGGAACATTAGTCATACCAATGTTAATATTACACATTAGTGGGGCCTAACACGCTCATTAAATCTCTAGTTAAACATTTGCTCTAACTAGTGAACTAGTGCAGCTAAAACATTTTTAGGTAACCACTAAAGTCCAAAATATTTTCCAGTAACTAGTATAGCAAACTTCACATTTCTGACTGACTTATTGGGTCCAACATGATTACTGGTTGGCAAGATAAAGCCTGTTTTCACTGTACTGGTTAAATGGTGAATGTAGAATATGCTTACCTGTTATGTAGTGTGTTTAAAATGTTTACTAAGAATATTAGTGAGAACATTTTAAACAGTAGTGAAGTAGTGGGGTCTCCTGCTTACTAGTTGGCTAACTAAAGCATAAATCTTACCAGTCATTAATGTGTACAGTTTTACAATCTTTAGTGTAAGTTTGTGTTACTGTGAGCGGCCAAATGTCCAACTAGGGTGAAGCCAGAAAGAAAATAATATTTGGTGTTGCTGTTGTTGCCTTAATGCTCAAGCGGCTTGCCATACACTGCTAATACTTCCTGTCCCATCTTTGTGTTCATGCTGTGGGGATCTCGTATCTGCTAACCTGGACTCGTTGGTCATTTTGGATTAAGGTAAATGACAAACACCTTAAAGCAGAGGAGGGACACATGCACGTGTGAGCAATTGGATTTATCTCACTCAAAATCTTGGAACTAAGTGTAGAAATTCTGTTTGAAAGGAACAAGAATGAAAGGCCATAGCGGACATGTGTAACTCGCTTCACACGAGCATGCAATCAGAATAATTTCCACTTTTTCAACGGGACTTTTCCATCAAAACACATAATAAAAATGAAGCCATTTGTTTAACCTGGTTGTTTATAATTTATTCACTTTCAACAGCTGTAAAAGTTGCAATGTGAGGTAATTATGCACACTTTGTTTTCACTGTGCACAGTTTTACTTAGACTCCAACACATTTTAATGGGGGGAATGTTTTTTAAATAGTATTGAAATCTGCCAAATTAAGACTTTGCACAAATAAAATTTCTGTGGTAAGTTTATAAAAATTAAACATTTGGCATTGCTTACTTTTGTGATAGCTACTAGTACATTTGGTTTCTGCACAAAACATTTAATTCACAACTCCTTGGGCTGCTTTGATGTCATTTTGTACTTTTACTGCTATTATCTATGTTTATATTACCAAATACAGAAGGCCAAGCTTGCTTATAAAACAAATATTTTGAAAAAAACTTATGAATCATTAGAGTAATATTTAAAATAACTTAAAACTACTTTATTTCAAACATTTTTATTTTTTAAAGCTCTAGACATGGTGGTTGATCATAATTTGGACAATCAGTACCATCACTGTACAGTGACTGATTGTTTTTGTTCACTGTGTGTAGGCATAAATTGACAAGGCGTGACTTTCAACAAGTACCAAGCCAAATAAGTTCAAGTGTGTGTATGCCTGGGTGAGGAATGTGTGTGTGTGGGATGGATGTGTGGGTGTGTGGTGGGTGAATACATGCTGAGATTTCTAGGATGAGTAAATGACACAGGAATCCAAACTTCCTTCATTCCACGCACCTCAGAAAATGTGGCATTTTCTTTTACCCTGCTCGCACTTTGACAATAAAACACGGCAAAATATTGTATGAAAGTAATCTGAGCTGAGGTTTCCTCAAAGAAAAGAGCCAGCTGGTGTCATACAGGTGTAATCAGAGAAACATGTTGTGGCTTGTCCTCTTTTGAGACATGTCTCATCTTTGAATACCTGAAAGTTTACTCACCTTACACTAAACTTTACCCCAATATATATTTTTTTCATTTGAAGCTATCAAATGCAGGAAAACAAAGTGTGTGTGTCATCCTCATCATAGGGTGTTATAACCCTAACCCTAGCCTGAAACATTTAACTCGAGGCCACATGTTTCAGTGAGTCACATGTACTGACCTTGGAATTTGTCTAAGCACTCGCTTTTTCTTTTACGTTTTGTTCATGGTATATATTGCAACATTTGAAGAAACTCAAGTTTAGTGTCCAGGTTTGTAGGCAAGATAATTACTTGGTTTCTTTAATTTATTGACAACCCAGGAGAGGAGAGGGATTAGTAATTCAAGACATGGGTGCAACAGTCGGCTCTATCAGCCGATGCCGGGAACTCTGTCCTCGGCAGAGTGGGGGTACTGCAAGGTCAGCAGCTGTTGTGACACACTAAGCTTACCAAATCTGCTTGGGCATTTTTTTTTAACCTTCACTAGATAGTAAAATGTGGTCGCAAAAAAAAAATTGAGTAAAATGGGTGACATAACTGAGCATCTTGGTGCCATTTGGCTGACTCATTTCCACAAGCGCGTGTGTTCAGTGAAGTGGTTTACAGAGTGAAAGTGCTGCCAGCGAATCTTCACGTGCTGCCATCTTTGCCATATTTTTTACGTCACGGATCGCTTGTTAGTCAAACAAATTAATTTTATACTGTAGATCAATGTTTGTTGGAGGTGATTGTAGGAGAATAAACAACTTATAGCACCGAAATATATGAACTAATGAGTTGTAGGGTGTCTTTTTTTATGTTAAAATTGTTGTTCATGAAGTATAAATGGGGCAGCACGGTGGCGCAACTGGTAGAGCTGCTGCCTCTCAGCGAGCAGGTCCCTGGTTCAAACCCCGGTCCAGGGGCCCTCTGGGTGGAGTTTGCATGTTCTCTCCGTGCATGCGTGGGTTTTCTCCGGGTGCTCCGGTTTCCTCCCACAGACCAAAAACATGCATGTTAGGCTGATTGGTAACTCTAAATTGTCCCTAGGTGTGAGTGAATGGTTGTTTGTCTCGTTTGTCTCTATGTGTCCCTGTGATGGACTTGCGACCCGTCCAGGGTGTACCCCGCCCCCCGCACAGTGATTGTTGGACATGGGCACCAGCGACCCCCGTGACCCAAAATGGAATAAGCGGGTAAAGATAATGGATGGATGGAAGTATAAATGATCTGAGACCATTGTTCTCAAGATACTGTAAAAGTACCACGAATGGTTTTCAGAATCTGTTTATCAAAGGAAGTTTTGGGAAGGAAATTTGATTCAAGATTTCTCTAAATTTTGTTCAGTTGTGGCACATAGGAAGAGATGAAATGACGTGCGATCTCTGCAGTGACTGCTGAACCTCCACATCTTAAACTGCACCGTTCAACCACGCTCATGGTTAGGGGTTTGGTCAGATTGCTTGTTTTTATGAATATGAACATATACTGCTATTTTTTATGTCTGCAATAAATGTTGGAGAACTTGGTACTTTAATGTGGGGCTCACTATAAGAAATTAAGAAATATTGGACTAAGATATTGTAATTAAAGTAGGAATACTGTATCGTACTGATTATACATTGTTAAGCGAAGGTGGACAGTTTTTTTATGTTTTTTTTCTCAAGTGTGCATGAGTTTGTGAGTCTGTTGCAGAAATATTTCATGAACTGGATGAATTTTAAAGAAACGTGCAGAAACCAATCATTGATTGATCCTCTACGACTGAGTAAACCCAGTTTGAGATTGCCGTCACAGCCAGCTGACCACTAAAAAGGCTTTAATTTTCATATAGATTGTTGTGGTAGTAGCTGAGTGTCATCTCCAACACTCATTCTGAGCAATAACTCAAGATTTATTTTAAATTTTTCCATTACCTATTCAGACACAACTGTTTGTTAGCAAAATACCATATGAGTAATTGAACGTATTTTAATGAAACTTTCACGAAATAATTATTGGATGTATATCTAAATCTGATTATCTTTCGGCGCCAACATCATTTCAGATGGCCACTGCAACTAACTGACCTTAGAAAACATAGTAATGAATACAACTCAGTCAATTTTACAAATGTTGTACTAAAATTCATTCAACCTTTATTTAGACAGGTTTTGTGTGGAAATAGCTAAATGTCATTTACAACACATATTTTAAATTCTGCTTACTGCACAAGACATTTGCCTTAATCTATAACATTAGCTAGAGGAGTCAGCCATGTTTGTCTGTTAGCAAAATATCTTATAAACCACCAGACAGATTTTATTGAAACTTTCAGAATGCAATCATTGGATGTACATCTACAATCGATCAGCGCAATTCAAGACGGCTGCCACAGCTAATCAACATTAGCCAACACAAAATTGCTATAACTAAGGCGATTGTATAGATTTTAACCTACAATTAAATGTGGTAGTAGCTGAGAGTTGTTCACAACACTCCAAGCGGGACATCTTGGGATATTGTACGTTGTTTTCAAGGTTTGACTAAAACATTTACAGCTTTCTCAACACAAGATAATCTTTGTCTAAAACGATGTTATGAAAGGTAGAAGGCGGTATAAATTTCTTAAAGAAATGCTAAGTAATAAAAACTATACACTTGAATACATTTTTAATTTTAATACAACATTAAGTGGAACTTGAAATAATATATTGAGTATATTACACTCACTGATTGAACGGTTACCCTAATGCAGGACTTATTCAATTCAATTTCAATTTCACTTCAGTTTATTTATATAGTGCCAAGTCACAACAAAAGTCATCTCAGGGCAGTGAAAAGAAACGGTCATATATATAAATAAGTTAACACTATTTATCTGAGGAGCAGCCTGCTTTGAACTGCTTTTAAAGACTCTCATCTTGAGCAAGCACAAAGGTGACAGTGGAAAGGAAAAACTCCCTCATGAGGAAGAAACCTTTAGCAGAACCAGGCGCAGGACAAGTGGTCATCTGCTTCGACCGGCTGGGTTTGAGAGGAACAGATACACAATGGCAGGATCACATGTTAAGATAGAAATAGTTTCAAATTAAAACTATTTAATTTTAGCAGTTCATTTAAGGAAATTAGGTCAATTTGTCCTCCAGTAGTCTAATTATTTAATTATTATTTAATTATTCAACTTATATCTAGATTTATTTTAAATGAACTCAGTGGGCCGGATTGAGCTCAACTGAGGGCCAAATATGGCCCCTGGACCACCACTTGAACAGCTCTGCTCTAATGTTAAATTATTCAGATTCAGAGATTCAGCGAGATTTATTTGTCATTCGCATCTCATGTGGTACACGTGGTGGAACGAGATTATGTACGCAGGGTCCCAGTTACATCCAACAATAAAATGTAAAAGAAAAACAGTAATAAGATCTAAGATATGTCTGACAAAGTGAAAGTAGCTCTTCAGAAGTCATTTGGACACAGCTTTTTATTTAAAAGTTCAAGATTAAATCTAATATACCACTAAACCACTTTTGCAAACTCTTAAAAAAATTAGAAATATTAGTTTGTAGATTTCACTTTAACTGCAATAACCAATTCGTATCTTAGCTGGGTCGTGTTCGATATAAAGTTGTAAAATGGAGTAATAATATTTCTTTCTCAGCGTTAGAAAGAAAAAAAAAATGTTTTCACTGAGGAATCCCGGGTGTGACTCTTGGAAGGAAACTCTCACCAAATATGGACAATGACGTCACCACCACGTGCTCTCCTTCGTGAGAGATTCCAGACAACAGCATTTCCCGTAAACACGGAGGGGCGTGGCGAACCGACTGTCTCTTTAAGCGTCTACAACCTGAAAATTACTTCCAGACTTCCGAGCTCAAGTGAGTGAGTACGAAGGACGAGGTGAAGCGGACACATTTTTCTGGGGACTGAGGTTGATTCGAGGAGAAAGTGAAGCGGGTTTTCCTTCCTCGCTCCCCCTTCGAACCCGATTGGACTCTTCGACTTACGGCATCACGGGTGGGTTTGGCCCGGAGTTTGAACGGAGACACGCGACTCATCCCGAAAGCTAAGATCCGAAAGAGGGGTGGTTTTATTTAAAATAAATATAACCAGCGGCCGGATTCAGTTTACTTTCACTCGACTGAAAGGATGTATCGAAACTTTGGGAGTCATGGAAGAGGCAACCCTCCGTACACCGGGTCCAACTCTGGATCTCTGGGAAACACCGGCACTCCAACAACGCAGCAGGAGCAGGTAGGTGTGCTCTCATCCGACCAGGTAACCGGTTCAAAAATTACTCAAACCCACGAGGTAATGGTAAAATATTCTGTTAAAAACATAATAAACGCCGTGTTTTTGTTTTGATAAACTGCATGGAGTATTTTACTATAATTAAACATAATTTCTATCAAGCTTAATATTATAATTACAGTGTTTTCTCATATTATCAGTAAATAATATGTTACAATGACTTTTTTTTTTTTTAATCATTGCACTTTTTAAATTTCTGATACTTTCAAGGATTCGAGGTTCTTTATTGTCATTCACATCACATGTGGTACATGAAGTGGAACGAAACAGGGTCCCAGTGACATCTAACAAAAATATAAATTGTAAAGAAAAACAGTAATAAGATCCAAGACATGAACTAAAAAAATACGCTAAACTATTGGAATAAGAATTACACTATTATACACTACATACTTGTGTTTTGTTGTGCCGATCTTTTTGATCTTTCTGATAATTTTGTTTTGTATTTACTAGAAATTCACAATGGCGGGCAGCAGTCAGTTTGTTCCGAGCCTTAATGCCATCACAACAAACCAGGACCTCCAGTGGTTGGTTCAGCCGGCTCTCATGAACCCTCCAGGCCCTGTACCTCCTTACCCGGCCCTCCTGGGGACACGGCCGGTGGACCCGTCGCCTTCCCAGTCCCATCTCCTCAGACCAGGGGTGATCAGAGCAGCTGCAAATACTCCACCATCCGCAAGGCACAGGAATGAAGAACAGGTGAGGGAAGCATTCTTTTGAAAGGTGATATTCAAAAACCGATGTTTTTATACCTTTTAAAGACTGAAGCTGATGAATAAGAGACTTGGTCCTTTCTGTAGTGTGTAAATATCCTGTAATTCTCAGGGAGATGAGTACAGTACATCTCCTTTTGACAGCCAAACAAGATCAGGGTCTTCTTTATATATAGACACTAATACACAGTTTTATACAAGTTATTTTTTTATTTCAGGCTCTTAGAACAGGGTTGTTTACTCTCAGGAGACATATTTTAGTTATTACTCTGTGATGTTTTTGACAGTAAAGTTACCAAATGTGACACAAAAAAAAAAAATCAAAGCGGTGCTACAAGCAAAAGTGAGTTCTTTTTGAAGCCAAAATAGCCAAGTGTTTGTTCCCGGTGGAGCGTGATTACTTGTTTTTGGGTGCACGTACCCTCGTCAGAGTTGTAATTGCATGGCACAGGAAGTACATTGTCATGTGACTCACAGGGGCAAGTCATGTTCTGTGACTCACACCTGAGTCAGCCCTGGGGTCTGAGGCTGAGTCATCAGCCTAAAAGAGCGGGAACGATTGGTTTTGCAGTAATTATTCAGCAGGGTGGTGGATATAAAATGTCCAACGAGTCATGTTACAAATACACAAAAGATTCAGATGTTGCTAAATAATTCAGCCGTCATGTCATGAATCATTGTGCACACACGGTGGTGGTAATTTTCCTGTTGCATGCTGTGTTGGACTAATGAAAAGTCTCATGCACGATGATCCTTTTCTCGTTAAAGTTATCTCCAGAAGAGCTGGAGAGACGCAGATTAAGAAGGGAGAGGAACAAACTGGCAGCAGCAAAGTGTCGCAATCGTCGCCGAGAGCTGACAGACTCGTTACAAAACGTGAGTGAACGTTGCACAAAGGGTTTATTCTTGAAAAGGAGGCCTTAGTCAGGCTTGAATGAATTTTGATTTTGTCTTTGTAGGAGACTGATGATCTGGAGGATGAGAAGTCACGTTTGCAGAAGGAAATAGCCGAATTAGAAAAGGAGAAAGAGAAGCTCGAGCTGGTCCTGGAAGCCCACCGCCCCATTTGTAAAATAGAGGACTCGGATTCAGATTCTGACCCACATCTATCAATTTCCTCCTTGGGGGCCATCAAATTGGAACCGGAGGAATCCAGCCTGCCTGGACCCTCAACCAGACCACCAGCGAAGATGCAGAAACCCAAACCGAAGATAACGATCCCCACCAGGCCTGTTACAATGTCCGCTTCTCTGGCTGTCTCTGAATCTGAGTCGCTCCACACCCCGGTGCTCACCTCTACACCGTCCCTCCTGTCCTTCGCCACAGCTGGAATGGTTTTCACCTACCCATCTGCATCCTCAGACCCCAGCTCCTCCGTCACGCCTCACGGCACATCCCATCAGCAGGCTCAGGCCCTGCAGCCTTGTGGGATTGCTCACCGCCGCAGCAGCAGCAGCGGTGACCAGTCCGATCACTCCTTGCACTCCCCGACCATCCTCACGCTGTGATCGCCGCACAAAACACAAACACTCATTTCAGGCAAATCAGGGCGACAATAAGGATCTCTGGGAAAAGGGAAAAACAAAGTAGGCATTTCAAGATGATCAGCTGCTTCATTTAAAGCAACTCATTGCAAAGTATGAAATCTACCATGAAAAAGATTCTCCTGAACCGAATCAGGTGGTGCAGTTTGAAACAATTAACTTTATATATATATATATATATATATACATATATATATAATATGTGTGGTACTGTGTATATATGTGGTACTGTATATATCCCGGACGAGCCCCCAATTTGTTATCGCCTGGTTCTAGGACCATAACAAACAAAGGGGAAGCAATGCATGGGATCACTTAAAATTATATTTATTTAACAAAAATCATGGCTGGCTGGAGAAAAGAGGTCAAGAAGAGAGAGAGGGAAGAAATGAGAGCAAGTGGTAAATCTAAAGCTGGATCTGAAGCTCTTCTGGAGACCAGCTGCCTCCACTTCCGATCAACACCAGTTAGGAGCTCTGAAACACAGACATGTTAGAGAGGCCAAGAGGAAAGCCTTGGGCCATAACAATATATTGATATTTGATGTGAAACGCTGGTACGCACTCAGTGTAAACAAAACACTTGGCATGTGGCTGACCTACAGGCTGACTGTGTAGGTGAACAAATATGGCGGAATCTGACAAAACGGCTCTTCCGTGGACACCGCCATTGTTGAGCTATTTTCATTCCCGTCGGCTGCGTTTGCAGGTAAACAAACACACATGGTGGCTGGCAGCAGCCCGCAAATTTTGCTAACAAATTTAAAATGCGAGGACACGTAAATTATTGCTACGAGAAAGTATGTTTAGGTTTTGTTTCTTGCTTTATTTGTGGTATTTTGTCTTCGTGACATTGCAAAGAGTGCCTTTAATCTCTGGAGACAGTTGATTCTCTTCTTAGATGACAGGAACATTTGTGGCATTATCAGGATGTTACACTCTTTAGATTGTTTTTATATAAAGTCTATATATTTCTAGTTTTGAAAGCTATAAGATGACATGAATGTATTAAGAGTTGTTTTGATCACTGCATGCAGAAAATATACGCTAAATAATTAAATAAATACTCTGTTTTTCTAAGAAGTAACTGAATTTTATCAAACTGTTTTTGCTATTGATGCTCCTTTAACACTTAGCAAACGTCCTCAATAAGGAAAACTAAAATATCTTTATTGTTTTGTTTAAATTTATAACGACTAAGGCTGGACCATACAAGTTGATAGAGATTTTATAATCACCTATTTATTTTAACAGAGAGTGTAATATATATTTTTGGTAATGTTTGAATTTCCTGCTTATGTGGGCAGTGCCTTATTATTTTTTTTTTTTTGTGAAATAAATGTACTAGTTCACAAGAAATAAATTAATTTTAAAAAAACATATCTGAGTGGAAACCATCATGGTGTGATTTATTTTTTTTAATTTTTCTTGGAACAAAACAACCAGCAGGAGGAAGTGATTAAAACAAGAGGAATCTGATGATTGTACATGAATCATTTTTAGCGTGCCTTCAAGGATTTTAAAGTTGGAGCACTGAGATATCAGATGAACTAAACTAAACGGTACAATCTGGACTTTAAAAGATAGATAATGTTAATCAGCTGACTCATTCATCAGCAAACATTTTATTTTTAATTGAAACAGAACTTATTCCCGGGCTACAGCTTCTCTAATGTGAGATTGTATTTATTTGTGTTTAGGTTCATTTGTAAACTTTACTTTTTAGGATTTTTGGTTCAGAAAATAATTTTTTTTTTTAAATATATATTGTGCAAAAATCATGTTTCCCCCAATTTCTTTATATTATCTGACTTTTAACCTTTTAAAAGTGATCTTTCTCATTAATATTTAGCCCAGTACATTTTTTTCTATGTCCTACTAACATGCACGGACAGTATTTTAGTATTAAACATGTCACTTTCTGATATTGTTCAACTTCTATAGAGAGTTTTTAAACCTGACACTTTGTCTTTTGTCTTCCACTTTCTTCATTTATTTCTAATAAGCTGTCATGGCTAAGCACAAATATTAAACAGAAAATAAGTGAGTTAAAGGTGTAGCGTTAATTAAGGGAGTGCGTATCGCTTAGCAACCTTTACATTAAAATCATCTAATGTTGACAAATGACAGACTTGTAACTGTTTTAGTCAAACCAATAATATAACGTGAAATATCACAAGATGATTCAGAGTACACGTTGTGAATGACTCTCAGCTGCCACCTTTTTTTTTTTAGATTATAAAATTGCCTGAGTTACAGCCATTTTTTGTGATAGCTAATGCTGATTAGCTGTAGCAGCCATTTTAAATTGGTCTGACTTCAAAAATTAATCAGTTGTAGATTAATGATTATTGAAAACTTTCTGAATGATTCATTAAACTATGTCTGGTATTTCATGAGGTGTTCTGTTATGACTCCAGCAGTTAATGCTAAAATATAAGGCGACTGAAGAAGGCTTTCGGGTGAAAGACGAAACGTTTCTACAATTTTTTTGTTTTGTTTATTGAATGTCCAGAGGACCAGACTTAACTTTTTTTAGATAAGGCGACAATCTTGAGCAATGAGGAGCACTTGGAGTTTGTGTTGGGAATCACCCTCAGCTACTACCGCACCAAATTTTAGCACAATTTCTCTATGACTGACGGAGCTAAAGGTCAGTTGGCTGTCGAAGCTTGAATCAGGTTGACGCCAAAAGTTAATCACAGTTGTAAACCCATTGATCACTTTCTGCACGTTTCATCAAAATGCGTTCAATGGCTCATGAAATAGAGACGGGGGGAAAAACATTATCAATTGCCTTTGCCTTTTGGCAGCATGCAAAAGTGAGGGGTGGTTTAAAACTGTCGCACAGAGCTGTACTTCATGATCTTTGACAGACAATTAGTTAGCCAAGAAAATAAGTGCCAGAATAATCAATAACGCCAATGATCCCTCGTGGCAGTCGGTAAAAGTGTTTGATGACTGCAGCGTTTGTTGGAAAACTCTATTGACTGCTCCCTGCTCTCAACTGGAGAAAAAAAAAGCAAATCTCATGCTAGTTCATCCACAGCTCCGAGGAAGTGTAAAATGGGGCGACAGAGCCATGAGAGCTTTAGAGGAAGGAAAAAAATAGAAAAATCTGCTGCTGTTACATGACGTCTGTGCATCATTAAAAACCATCAGCCCCAAAAATAAAACTGGTGAAAATCTGAAAAGCGAGACGGTGCAGGCGTCGTTACTCAAGTGAGGCTGCTTCAGACATTCGGAGCCAAACGGCAAAAATCCATGTGTCATTTCATACATGTAAAATTGTTTCTGAAACACATGAAGAAAGGTCAGAACAGCGCAGGGTGTCGTAAACTCACTGTATTTAAAGCTCCTCCAATAAACAACTGACCACAAAATAAATCTCCTCTAATCCAGATTTAAACAGAAAAGAGTTAGCAATGCTATATAACACAAATCAAGATAAAGAAGAGCCAAATAAAGTCACAGAATAAATACAAAGTGTGAGTTACAGAAGGAAATGAAAATCAGATTTGGAGACTTAAACATCAAGAACATCATCAAAAGGTCAAAGGAGTGAGTGTGATCAATTGGCTTCAAGAGTGTAAAATGTTTAAGACCAAAAACACTTAAAAAGTGACTGATCTTTTTTGTTTTCAGCTCGGAGTACGGTTTAACAATATCTGTCGCTAAAAATCTCCACTCAGGCTCTGGTTCTGTCAGAACTTTCCAAACCAACAAGCTGTAAAAACGGCAACAATCGCCGTGCATGTATGCCACTCCAATCCCGTCCTGAGGAAGTGAGTGCATAAAATGTTTAACAGTAGGGCATCTTTTGCAAAAACTCTACATCGAATAATCTCATGTTTATCACAACCCCCTTCCAGTGCTGTTTGGAGTTCAGTGGACTAAGTATGGCTCAAAACTGGATTCAAATTCATCTTTGGATCTTTGATTTGAAGGTACTCATTGCAAATCATGGAATAAAATATGAAAAGTTCATCATGATTTTTTTTTTAAATCAAACTGTGCTGTTTGAAAGCGTTTACTCCAGTAGTTTTACTGATATATTAGTGTGCAATTCTGAAATGCGGGTACGCACTCAGTGTAAACAAAGACTGAATTTGCTGAAAGTAACGTGAAAGCTTGAGTCATAGGGTTAGCCTACCTTAGGGCGGGTCACACAAACAAATCTGGTGGAATCCAGCAAGTGTAGAACCGAGAAGACGTTTATGAGAGACAAATAAAACAGCTGTCAAGAATAAACGAAAGGGATCAAACAGGGCAGTGCAGCACCATAAAGACAGCATTCAAAGACCTCAACCTGCAAACTTTACTCAACAAATCTGAGCGTAAATATGTACCAATACATCAAATGTTTTGATCTATTTGAATTTGGCTGTTTCTAAGCAGACGGTTAGAATTTTTGTTTTCACGTTCTTTATTTAAGGACTAAAAAAAGCATAGATTTTTTTTTTTTATTTCTTATTTTTTACTGGCCTTTAGGACTTTGCAGTGAGTACCTTTTAAGATCCAAGACAATGCTCTCCAGTGCAATGTACAAAAGGCTTCAGTGTTGGCTAGTCCAGTGCATGAGATAAATTTATGTGACCCACTTATTGGTCCCCCAGCAGAGCACTGAAAAAGGAGAAAAAGAGTCATCATAGAAAACACTGTAAAATTAAGACTTTCTTCTGGCAACATCGATTTAATGTGTGTAAGGTCCTGAAATGTTTTGTTTTAGTCAAAAACCTAATGTGGCACACATATTTTGCAGCATTCAGAAAGCCCTAATGCGTTTAGTTTCCATCACTAGTCCACGTCCTTCTTCAGGCCTTTCTGCAGACCTGCCGTCAGTCATCAGGTGAGCACACCAGGTGCAGCTGGTCCGGACTCCCCACGCTGCCGGTGCTGGAGCTCCCATCCCCCAGATCCCGGGCCACCATGCAGGGCAGATTGAGCTCCGTGGACCCGCCGGGGCTGGAGTCGCTCCTGCTCACGCACTCCTCCTCTAGGACCAGGCACAGCTCCTTCAGGTCCAGGTTCTCCTTCACCAGCCCGTCCTGCATGCGCTCCAGGTCGGCCAGCTTCTTCAGGTAGCCGCCCAGGTCCTCGCGCATCACCTTGGCCGCGTGGTGCCCGAACAGCTGCCACTCCCGGGCCAGCTTCTTCACTTTGAGCCGGTCGTCGTCCAGGAAGCAGCACAGGTCCCGCAGCTCCACGTTCTCCTCCTGCAGGCGCTGATTGATGACTTTCAGCTCCCTGATTTCCAGGAGGTGCCCCTGCAGCTGTTTGTTCACCTCCTTGATCAGACGGCCGCGCTGGATGAGAGCTGCGATTTTCTCCGACTCCTCTTTGCGCAGCCGGGTCACCAGCTCCTCCTTGGTGCACGCCAGCAGATCCTCGTCAGACACCTTCGACAGCTCTCTGCTGATCATCTCCCCCTCGCTGCCCATTTTAGAGCAGACCAACGCCAAAACTACGAGTCCCTGAGAATGTATAAACCCGTTGAAGCAGAGCTCTCACATCCCCATCTTCGTCCGCCGCGGTCCAGATGTCACGAGCTCCGGGGGAAACAGAAAGGCAGAAACATGTGGAAATCTTTACAATATGCCCTTTAGTGTTTAATGCCCTGCTGAGGTCGTGCGTGAAGATGCAGCGTTAATGTGCGCCTGTCATCCTGTTTTCCAGAGGCCTCCTCCAGCGCATCAGTCCGTCTTTCCCCTCGTCTCCACGAGGCTCATTGTCCATGAAAGCTGCCTCCTGCGCTCCTGTTTCTTTCACAAACTTCGTGGACCCACCGAGCTTTATTCCAGCAGCTTGCAGATGTTTCCTTTTTCTTTTCACGTCGGTGGCGTCGTCTCATCGGGCTGTTCCGCTCGGCTGAGGCTGAATGAAATCAGATCTCCGCTGTGCAGCGCTTTACTCCTGCAGTCGACGCGGCGTGTTATTGTTATTATTGCTATTATTATTTTGGAAACGGGGCCAGACGAACCCGATCCGACCCGTCATCCGATCATCGGTGCCTGGTCTGTGCTCATCCTCCGGAGCTGAACTGTTAACCACAACAATGTCTGCCTCCACCACTTTCACCCCTCCGAGCTGCGCGTCAAGCTGAGAGATGGAGCTCTACCGGAAGTTGTTGGCCTTCAAAATAAAAGCACGGACTTGTGTTTTCAACACGTCTGAACCTAGAATGGTGAACAAAGAGCAACTGGATTTTTTGTTATAACACAAATTGTTACAAAGGGAAACCAGCATGCTTCTCAGCAACGCAGGCCCAACTCCAGTCTGAAGTAAAAATGTCAGATCTCATTTCTTTGAAATTATTTCAAAGACATTAACAATAATCATCGTGAATCTATTAATCAGTGTCGGTGTTTTTGAATAGTGTTACTTTTATTATAGTTTTTGCCTTTTGTGACTGTTTAAATTGTTCACATGTTTGTCTTTTTATTATGTTTGTGACTTGTGTAATCCGTTATGATTCATTCAACCTTTATTTAGACAGGTAACTCCCATTGAGCCTCGAGGACTCATTTACAAGAGAGACCTGATTTCGACAAAGAATGATGACAACAATGGACAACAGCAACAACAATAGACAAATATAAAAAGGCATACAGATTTTTAATTTTTTTTTGTACAAATAAGATGGCAAAAAAGTAACAAAAACAGCTAGATTATAAGGTGAATGTAGAAAACTGAAAACAGGATGATGTGCGCTCTTTGCTTTTGCGCAGGTCCCACTTGCAAATGAGATCTTGATTTCAATGGGGTTTAAAATCTAGTTAGATAAAGGAAATTAAATGTTATAAAACATTTGTCTCAACTTTGACTCCAGCATGTAATGTATATCTTGCAGTGGGGATTATGCAATTCTGTGAACTTTTTCAGACGAGTGAATGTTCCTGAAATAAGACACAAAACATTTTCTAAAACTAAAGGAATGCTTATTGCCCACCACAATTCTTGTCAGGGTGATTATGCTAAGATCTCTTTTTGATGAGAAAGCACAGAGTTGTAGTTGTTTTAGTCGAACTTTGTAAATGACATGCTTGATTTCATGTGATCTTGTGAGATCCAACGTGATTTGTTAGTGCTCAAAGAATGTGGTGAGGATGACTTCCAGCTGCTACCAAATTTACCTTAACATCTGTTGACTCAACAGTTAATGTTGCAGATTTTTGCAGAGATGTTGCACAGTGTGTAGTCATGCTGAGAGTATGTATTGCAACTGACTCTTAGCTACCACCAAACCAAATTTTAACTCACTTGTTGGCTAATGACAGTTAGTTAGGCTGGCTATCCTAAACTGAGGTAATTCCAATTGTGTCAGGAAGTAATAAAACAGCGTAAAACACTTTTGTCGAAACAAACATGCAAGTTTGTCCAAGCGACACCATCCTGGATTGGTTGAGGCCCGGGCTAACAACAACCTCCACCACTGCTGTTGACAAATGGTAATAGATAGTCATTAGTTAGTTGTTAGTGTTAGTCAAAGACAACGAGGAGGGAAACATGCCAGGAGACTGAAAGAGAAAAGGAAAGTCAAGAGCACAACGATAAACGTAGGGACAATGACAGGCAAACGTAGAGAGCTGGCTGATGTATTAATAGGAGCTAAAACTAAAGAGGCCAGACTGAGATGGTTTGGACATGTCCAGAGGAGGGACAGTAGGTATATTGGTAGAAGGATGTTAGAAATGCAGCTGCCAGGAAAAAGACAAAGAGGAGATATATGGATGCAGTTAGAGAGGACATGGAGGTAGTTGGAGTGAGAACAAAGGATGCAGAGGACAGAGTGAGGTGGAGGACCATGACTTCCTGTGGAGACCCCTGAAGAGGAAAATGCGGAAAGAAAAAGAAGCTGTATACCCAGTGATTAAGTTCAAAAACTCTTATTAAAATCCATCCTGTGTTTCTTGGAACATTTTGCTAACAGACTGGCAGAGTTGACAGTAATAGTATTGGCACAGATTTAAAAACAGATCTGTGTAAGATGCTCAGAGGATGTGCTGGTTACTGGGACAGAATTATTTCATACAATGCTTTATTGTATCACATCTCTCATTACCACATTTGTATTGTATCATGCTACATTGTGTCAGCACTTTGAAGTCCTAACTTGTGATCAAATTCCTCAGATTACGCATTGGTATTAAGATGAAAATGAGTTTTCACTCTTCAGCATCTCGAATGAAGTAGCAGACTGTTTTATTTTGACAGATTTTTTCACAGGAAGTTGAGTTTTTGTTGGTGACTGCTACATGACAAATCTCAGAGTGGTAATCTGTAATGTTTGTGGTTTCCTCTAATCTTTTCGATATCTATTTGACATATGTACAAACCTTTAGGGCCTTTAGCGTGGTTGTAAATAGCAACATAAAATAGGTTATTTTTGAGAAGCAAAGACTCGATCTGTCCTCCAGCTGAGCTGAAAAACATTAAGATTAGCACTAGGTGGTTTTGTTCCACATTTGAATTTAAACATGTTTTTTTTAATGCTGTGAAACTTAAATGTGGTAGATAAGCACAATTTACAAAGGAAATAAAAGGGAACAGTATGTGTAACATGACTTCCTCTGAGTCCTTTTGTTCATTTCTATGATCTCATTCTCTGAAATTCAACACTAAAATGTCCTACAGGTTTCTGGACTTCACTACGCGTGTACAGGACATTGAGAGACTACTTGTTTCTTTTCAAAGACCACTGTTGGAAAGTGTGACTCTTTCCCCCTGTCAGTTTATGCTGAGGCATTCGACCACATCCTTCCGCCCTCTGTCCCACCTCCATTGTTTCACTGAGGCCATAACAATGCAGGGTGTTAACCGTGCTGAGGGGACTCAGTGGTTGAAACCAGGGTGTCATATGGAGTTAGAAATGAGAGTGTTGACGTGCACCAAGAGCTCGGACAAAATGACGTACCGACTGGGACGCGTTTCCTCCCCTCGTGTTGTGAATTTGAAGGACACATGCAGAAACACAGAACGGGAGGGTGAGGAGAGGGATTTACTGGGATTTATTTGGATTAATCTCTGTAGGAAAAGAGCAGATTGTGTACAAGCAGGCAGCGAGCAAAGTGGATTCTGCAGGAGGCCCGTGGGGACAGAAGCCTATCTTTGATCTGACTCTTTTCCTAACAACTAATAGCCCAAATAGAAGAACAAAGGTCAACAAGAGGGTGCCACCTAACACTCTGTTGTAATTTTTTTGTAATTTGTGTTTTCATTTATTGTCATGCAGTGTCAGACCTGACCTATACTGAAATCAATTTTTGTGTTGAGTTTAGGTATTGCGCTGTGAATTGATGCCATTTATGAATTTAAAGATTCTGCAAGAATTTAATTTAAAAAAGAATATGCCTAAAGATGAATTTGTTCTGTTACCTCTCATGGATTCTGCAAATGTGATGACATATAAAATATGTTATCAAGTTTTCTATTATAAAGGTTCTCACACATTCTCTGCCTAATATCAGAAAACGCAAGACTAATTATTTCAGCAATTTTGTCTTCACCACCATTTAACATTAACTTTCATTCACAATAAAACCCCATTATGACAGAGACCATTATAAAGGCTGTACTTAAAAGCCAGAGGACAATAGCTGGAATATCTATTGCTATGGCCTATTGTTATTACTGCAGCTAATTTAGGAACATTAATTGAGACAAATCCTACCCACAATAATGGCCTATTTATTCCTGCTTTAACAATTAACAGCAAAGAAAGATACGTTTTATACAAAAGAAAGTCAAATGTTTTACTCATTATTTTGAATAGAATAGAATATAATCTTACTGTCATTGTTGCAGGAAATAAAAAAACACATTTTAGCAGTTGGCAGTGCAAATGTATAACAACAAGGAGTAAAACATGCTCTAAAGCAAAATAAAATAAAAAATAACAAAGTAAAACAGAACAAAGGAAACACATTTAGCAACCAGATAATTGTTCAATTTATGTCTGTTTCTTATTCTTTATACGTTTATAAATATACTTGCAATTTGTGTTTTCATTGTCTGTAATACAAGCTTTGTAAATATTAAACTCATTCAGTATCATAATACAATTTTAATTTTAAAAGTTACTTAAAAATAAGCAAACATAGAGCGTAATTGAAATTCCACAAAGTATTTAAAGTTTTAAAATGTAGATTTTTTTAAACCTGTTGTGCCACACACACTTGTCAAGCTATTTTTAAAAAATAAAGTGTAAGAACAGATGTCAATTATCTGTTTATGTGCCTCTTGAAGCCCATATACCTACACTATTTTATTCTAGAGATAAAATAAAAATTAAAAAAACACCCCGTGCTTCAACACAAATGAAAACCAGACATGTTCCAATATCTATAGTGCAGACAGTTTCAACAGATGTTAATGTTTTTACTTTTTTATTATTGTCACGTGGCGCTGTTCTACCTACTGTCACCATGGCAACCACACTTGCTGCTGCTAGACGCAGTTAGCTCATTAGCCGCTAGTTTTAGCTGCAGTTTCTCCACAAACAAGACGGTGCGCACATTTCAACACGCTGAACACATTATAGTGAATAAAATCACAATTCTGCATATTGCTAGAATGTATATATTGTATTAACGGTTCGTCGTGTCGTCGCTTCTTGTGATTTTTTTTTAAAACTACCCTTCGATTTTGGTGTGTGACGTCACTTCCCCGGAAGTGCTCCTTTCTCCGGGACTGCTGTTGTTGACAGGACCCACACCAACATGAACGCTGCTTTTTGACCAAAAGAAATGTGCTTTAAAGACGAAAGTGTGGATTTGCTTTGATTATTCTTATATTATCGCCATATTTTTTTGTATCTAATTTACGGTTTCGTGGTCTGTTAGTCCTTCTGTCCGCGAACGGCTGCTAACTTTACGACATTGCTAACACAGAGGCTAACCTAATTAAGCTAATGATTAAAGCAACAGAGAAAATGTTCAAACACAGTTAATTGTTTGAACAACTCTCCTTGAAGGCACGTGTTGATTGAAACTAGAAAACTGTTTTGAACAACCCTAAAATCAAGATATATAATAAAGGTAAATATGAGCTCAATGTTGATGGCTTATGGTAATGTTGGCAGTGTTGTTTGAG